AACCACCATCAAAGATATATTATACATACATTTTGCTTTGAAAATACAATCTGTACAAATTCAGTATTCTAGTAACTGATTTTTAAAACCCAAATAATTTATGAATACCTAAAAAACTCAATTCATTTTCACAGAATATTTTAGTAACAATGTTATTATAAACACCCTCTCTCTCTCTAAGTACAGTATATATATGAAATATATATATATAGAGAAGGCGAGTGCATAAAGCACTCGAAAATGTTTCGGTAATTATGATTACTTCCTCTTATTGGCAAGTGTTCAGTCCAGGATAAAAACGGCTGTGACCAATTGGCCCGAGTTCAAACAAAAATACCTGCAGTACACTGTTTTGGAAAAATGGGCCAAATATTACCTTGAATAAAACAAAAACTTCTGATTTGCAATGCCCAGTGGTTCACACTACAGTACTCTTTAAGTGGAACCTACCATATTACGTCCTTCTGTAGACATGAACATCTCAATATGTCCTTTCTGAAGAGTCTACTTCTGAGCTATTTCAAATAATTGTGAAGTTATCATAAAAAAAAATGTAAAGGCAGGATGGTTATGTAGCATTATACTACAGAATATGTAAGAGTTCCCAAGATATCATTCAGGATGTCAAGTACGAGGGGAGAAAGACGTAAGAAAAGTAAGTCAAAAGAGGCAGACTTTCGGAGGAGTTTATCAATGGACAAATGAGTCCATTGATTGATTAAGGAAGAGTTTGGAAGTAAAAATTTGCGATTAACCTGAAAATCATGATATTCTACAAGGTGAGCGGCTGTTAGCAAAAAATAAAGGTCTGACAGTAAGTTGCCTCTCTTCCAATAACTGTCCATGAGTAAATCTTGTGTGGCCAATTTGTAGGCTAGTTAGAGATATTCCGACCTCCTATTTCAGTGATAGCGAGGCTGTGCCAAAAGGTCATACCTGTATTTGATATTACGTAATTTATCATTCATAGTTTTAAACCAACTTTTCTCCAAAATTTGTAAATTTGCAATTCATGTAAAGAACTTGATTCTGGGAGATGGGGCAGGAACAAAGAGCTTCTTTAGCAACGGCATCTGTTAGGTCAAAGGAAGCAACACCAATATGACCGAAAACACAGAAAAATTCTATTGTCTTACACCTGCCAAAATGAGGTATAACCAATGTTGGATTTCTATCACAATGAAATGAGAAGGGTTAAAAGACTCCAGGGTTATGAGAGCACTGCGAGTGACAACAAACATTTGTTGTTGTTGTGTGTTGTCTCAGAGTACATAAAAGCCCATAAAGATCTACAGTGAAAATATTAGTCTTTGGGAACCGATAGGTTTTATAAGGAAAACTATTGGAGAAGCCATCTTCAGCAGATTTTCACATGACTAAGCAGATCAGTCGAGTATGTATGGCAATGGAAATATTCAAGGAAAAGTAATTTTGAGACAGTGTGGTGGGAAGGATGGGGGTCTACATAAGTTTTTACTGTACAGGTTAGGGCTTTACAATACTGTACAGTTTTTAACAATTAGGACTCTCCATAGTGGTAGAATAGGCACAATACAAGAGGGATTATGATTTTTCTCACTGCGTCACTTGAGTCAGTTAAACTTGTCTAACAGGCTTTGCTTGAAAACTCTTCCAACCTAGTAACCTTGCTCATTTCTTCATTTGACTGTAGTGTCCCTGACAAACATTTTACAGACACGTGTACTCTCTGAATTGGAATTTTGCCTAAGATAGATTTTTGGTGCTGCTCTCACCAATAATTGTTACACATGATGATGATTTTGACAATTTTTTACAAATGAAGAATGTTTGTTTTCTCCTTTACTATTAACTAGTGTAACTTGGCAAGTATATACTGCAATATATACACACTAGAAGCTGTAGCCAATCATATCATTACACAGGTGGCATAGAAATGAATTCCATCACTATATTTGGGAGCATTTGATGACCAAATCACACCTCAGAAAAAGAAACTGCAACATTTCAGTCTGTCCTGGACTGTTAGCAAGTCGTGTGAAACTCTGTTGTATCTTCATTTTCTGACGTGTGGTTTGGTCATCATATCTTCAGCCATGTTATTGTGACTAATCGTCTGCATATGGAAGCAATTGATATATATCACATCTGTTAACTCTTGCAACAAAAATATATGATTTTTGTAATTTCCATGTGTCAAAATGGTCATTAATGGCCACATTTTCCAGCAATACCCCTGAAAAAATTGCCACAATGGAGTTATGACATATCCTGAAATGAACACTAATTTTCCACAACAACAAATGTCAGATCAGCAATATTGTTTTCTTGTTTCAATAATAAACACTAATTAGCAGTTTACAATGCACATGTGAATTTTTAATAGTTAATAACAGCATAGAAGCCACCCTGAAGCATAAAACAGTCTAGTCTTGCCATTGTTCTGCAGTAACTACAACATATGCCAAAGATATCCCAAGCAGGCAGGTTGGGCAGATTTTCTCTACAGAAAGTAATGTATAGGCAAAAATAAAGCAACAGTATCCCATGCAAGCAGGAGTAAAGGGATACTTTGAAAGCTTTAGAGCAAATACTGCACTTGATTTCTTTCAACACCTTCAAGCTATTCAGAATTAAATCAAACCTACCAACAGAACAGCTATCCTAAATAGTATAATACAGTTCAATGGAACATTTTGCTTTAATCTTGAAAACCCCCAATTGTAACAAAAGACAACCCCATACTACACCCTAAGTCACAAAAGAGACTCCCATACTACACCGCTGCCTAGTACATTCACACTAAGACTATCTCATGCATTCATACTGCAACACAAGCTCATATTCTGTCACAGTTTAGGCATGTCCATCTCTACACCCTCCTGTAAAGGAATACATTTTGTTTATCCTTTATTTTTATTTTGACTTCCTTACCTGCACCTGTCTTTCTTCATGTACTGTATTTCCTTACACTGCATCTACTAAATTGCATAGGCTTGTTGAGGCAATAAAATATTTATCCACGCATTCTTATTACTCAATAGGTTTAAATTACTAGTACTTTTCTTATGTGACACTCTAAGAAGCATATGGAAATCAAAGATTTCTGGCAAAGATTTCCAATGTTTTATTAAATATCTTCATCACAAGGCAACCAATGAGCATTCAAGTTATTTACAAATTGCAAAAATAAAGCTCTAAAAAATGTTAAACTAACAAAAAGGAAAACTGGTAAATATTAATATTATCTGGAACTTCTTGCAAAGAGCTCAACAAAACAATATTGGCAGCCTTTAAAATGCCTGTCTAATATTGTATGTTCAATTTTAGTGGTTGCCCTGCACTCAAAAGGGCCTTTCCAATATACAGTACTGTGCTCGTTCTCTTATTCTCCTTACAGGATCCATTTTACCTTCACTCATCATCTCCTTCACTACATCTGTCCAGTAACCTATTAAAATCTTATCGCCCATTAATCTTTCTACATATCCAAACAACTACAACGTATTCCAGGTAATGCACTCGATGATTTCCCACCTCATGGGCTCTCCCCCATTCATATTTTCTGTGTACATTCCTCTTGCACAATTCTTTCTGATCCACTAATACCCCAAGAATACCTCAAACATTTTCACATACTGTACTGTATTTGTCTCTCATTCCAAGACAATACCTGAATAAAATATGCAAGGTGTACACTATTCAGAATAATCTACACAAGTATTTTTATCAAAATCAATTAAATATATATAGTATTTGCAACATTGACAGCTAGTAACAACAGCTCTCACAGACACTACTTCTAGAGCTGGAGTTTTTTTTTACAAAAGTTATTATAAACTATCAAAAGCAGAACAGGACTTTTCTTAAGAGTAAGTGGCTGCATAGCTAACGAAACAGTTGGTTCAAACACAAGATATAACAATATATAATAAAAGTTCAGAGCTTATCAAGCATTATTTTCCCATTGAAACTGGGAACCTGTGAAATCTTAATATCATCTTCAACAATCTGGTAATCCACTTGGTATTCTATTATGATAAAATACTGGCCATGAAAACACTATCCAGTGGTGCATACTGAGTCTAACTAAACCCAGTTATCATTAAATGACAAATTACTGATGTAAACTGATAAAATTCAACCTAAAAGACAGTGTCTTGTAGTGTTTACACTACAGTGTCAATTTTTACACAAGACAGTGTCTGTCATTACATTAGACAGTGTCTTATGTTAATTATACAAAATAAAAACGGAATTAAAGATCTAGCTTGAGTTCTGGGGTTGGATCAGTTAATGAAGTGTTAAAAACCTGTCCCTCTTTCATCAGCTACTAGCACACCATTTTATATTGTCCAATCTGCCAATAAGGAAATAGGTCAGGCATCTGCTGGAGTCAAACCTGGCATACAAACAGTATAGCACATCTGGCTGACTGCAAACCACAGCCAAATGTGCAGTATAGCACATCTGGCTGACTGCAAACCACAGCCAAATGTGCAGTATAGCACATCTAGCTGACTGCAAACTGCAGCTAAATGTGCAGTATAGCACATCTGGCTGACTGCAAACCACAGCCAAATGTGCAGTATAGCACATCTGGCTGACTGCAAACCACAGCCAAATGTGCCAATGTTAATTAACCACTTTTATTATTGAAAAAGCAGATATTCAATGGCAAGAACGACATTGTAAAAAAAAATTAATATTTAATAATGTTACAATTCTACTAGTCAGACTACATAAAAATGAAAAATATCACAATGCACTCAAATAGTTATATAAACAAACTGCACATTAAAATAAATCATTTAAGACATACAAAAATACTGTACAGTATTTTTTTAAACTTTTCTCATCTGAATATACTGTACTGAGATTAAGAAGACAATAATGATAGTGTATGTGTACTGTACTGCTAGTTAATCTTCAATAACATCAAATTTATTACTATGTAATTATTTAAGCAATGAATTTTTTTAATTTTTTTCAATACGACAATATCTTGTTTAGTTTCCTACCCTCAGGTTGTTGCATTCCTGGAGTTAGCGCTCGCAGAAAATCATCTGGAGTCATGAAAATCTCAGTCCTTTCAACTCCACTAGAAGTCCTTTGTATTAACTTGCAGGTAGCAAAGTAGCGGAAAATTTTATCCGGGGTTGAATATGCCCGAATTCTGTTCTCGTACTCTATGATCTACGGCAGAAGAAAAGAAATGGCTTCTAAAAAAAAATAGAAATTTACTTTCCAAATCACCGAAAAGTAACAACGATACATGCTGCACTTCAAAAAAAAAAAGAAGAGGATCATGCATACCAAAAAAATGTACAGATCAACAAATTTTACATAATACAAACTAAATGGCTCAATAAATGGTATGAAAAATATCACAAAACTCTAATGAGGAACATCCATCACAAAACTGCATCAACTACCTACACTGAAAACTCGAAGCAAAATGACAAAATACAGCAAATGCTTCCAGTACAATGAAATACTGTACGTTGAAGACCACAACATTTTACTGGTTATACTTTTGGTATCTGACGAGAATAATACATACGCACATTAAAAAACACTAGTGAAATATATTACAAGTGGAAGGTTACTTTATTCAGTGTAGATTGAAAGTAGAATGCATTGATAATCTAGTTTAACTATAAGATGGTAATCAGGTGGTTTATATTCTATTATTGCCCAATTTTGCTAACATGTTCTGTGCTGAGCAAGAAAAATATTATACGTACTGTAATTTGTACACTTTTATCTACATGATTTTTACAGCAAATATATAGTATGCAATTCAAAAGCCTTTGGACTACATGTATAAACATCCATAACATACGGTACCTGTCCCATTCTGAAAACATGTTTTGACATGGTTTAAGATAGGATATTGATTAGAGCATCATTTTTACCCAACGCTTCACATACAAAAATGACCTGGACTGGAGCCCCGAGTAGAGGAAAATGACTGAGCACCAAACTTAACTGTATACCCATGTTCACTTAGCAACAAATGAGGACCTGGTTAGAAATCAGCATAGTGAGATACATAATGGAACTCCTAAGAAAACTGCAAGTAACACAGCATGCTATGAAAGGGGTGAGAAAGTCGATGTGATTCAACCAGAAGTCAGGCCTTGAGTGCATACCAACAATCAATCCAACCTGGGAAACCAAAATCACAAAAAACAAAAACATGCTATGGATTGGATAGAGCAACCCCACAACCCAGCTAACAGAAGAAAGAGGTAAATAATCTCCCTGCTGCACAGGAACTGAAAACAAAAGCTTTGGGTGGGAAGATTAGGTGCTAGACTACAAATTGCTAGACAAACACCGAATTCCATCACCTAGAGATGAGGGAGGGAATGAACAGTCATGGACAAGAAAAATGGTTATTTTTCCCAACAAACGTGCAAGGCGTCAACACCTCAGCAAACCAACATGAAGCCCAGTACAGTAAACTCTAACTACTAAATACAGTATATCAACTCTTTTTGGAACGGGCCTCATACAGTGACAGAGCCTCATAGCAATACAAGATCTAGGGACAACTTGAATCGAGTCTGTTCAGAAGAAGAGCTGAAGTCATGTCAAAATAACTCTGATGATAGTACTGCACTAGAAAATAGGGCCCTGAAACACATGGTGATGCAGATAGTGGTAACAAGATACATAATGCGAACGGCATACATGCTCATGAACCATTAAAAGCACATAACCCCTACACAGGAGCTTTGGTCTAATAAACTGCTGAACACTTAGCTTTGCAAGTTCTTCTGTGTGCGCGATACAAACAGCATCAACAAACCAAACGACAAACCAAAGCCAGGCAGTGTGTAACGAGACCTCATCACCTAGACCAGGGTTCAACAGGCTTGCCATCCAATCGTGGATGGGGAAGTCAGGGGATGGGGAAGTAATTATTTATTAGCTGTCTCAGTTTTGTTTTGGAAATCTGAAATGCTTTCAACACATTTCTTGAGAGAGATTGAGTGTTTTGCTTCCCCTTTTCCTTTCATTTATGGCAGTTTGCTGCGCTGTTCAATGTGAGAGCCTTTATCTGTGGTAGGCAGTGAGAATCCCACAGGTACCTGGGGCCAGATTCATAAAGCAGTTACACAAGTACTTACGAACGTGTACATCTTTCCTCGATCTTTGACAGCTTTGGTTACATTTATTAAACAGTTTACAAGCATGAAACTTCCCAACCAACTGTTGTTATCGTTATAAACAGCCTCCTGGTGCTACGGAGCTCACTAACTGTTTAATAATTGTAAACAAAGCCGCCAAAGATTGAGAAAAGATGTACAGGTTCGTAAGTGCTTGCGTAATTGCTTCGTGAATCTGGCCCCTGATGTCTACTGGTCTCACTAGTAATGGCCAGTGCTGAGGCTCAGGAAAACTACCGAGAGGTTAGCCCATAAAATGTATAACAGGAATGTCTGATAATATCTCTAAGAATAGTAATATAAATCTTCAAGGTCATAATAGTGACCTAGTTAGGATTTAGTGATATGACTTGATCTAATACAACACCAATAATGTCTATCTTGCCACAATAATAAACCAGAATCTAATGGGCTATAAATACATGCAGTTGTCCCCAGTGAATATAACAAATAAAACAAAAGCAAAACAAAAGGAAGTGTGAATATAACAAACAAATTATGTACAGCACATGCAAATAAAAACTTTACTGAACCATTGCAAATACAGTAATAGGAAGCATTTGCAATATTTAAAACGCACAAAAAGGTTTTCTATCAAAAACACCTTCAAGGGAGTAATTTTGCATAAAAATAAGTGTATATAGAGGCTGCACACATAGTGCTACTGTATATAAGAAAGGAGCAACTTAAAAGTGGTCAAGATTCTCTGCGTGCCATCCTGCTCGACACCAGGTGGGACACGCAATGGTGAGAATGAAGGGGTCTTGTCTATCCCATGGTTTGAAACAAAGGTGAAATGCCAAAACATTAGCAAAGTATAAATTACATAACATTAATATCTTATTGTCTAATTATTAACTTTTCTGAATTCCTACCAACCTCTTCCTCTTTCGATAAAATTTAAATAAAACTTTGCATTAATTTTTTACATAAACCAGCTGACAGAATCATTCAGTTATGAAAGAAATTTTGTTACTGTATTTCTGTAACAAAATATAGTATTCGATATATTTATAGTATCTTGAATGAGGTAAAATGTTTAGATAAAATTAACTATTCATTATAACATGCAACTATAAATGCAACATGAGAACCCACTAATTAAAACACTGCTTCTTGTCACTACTGTCATGTAGTATGAGGCTATGAAAGCCATGAAGAGCATTATTGTATAATAATATCTTCCATATGTAAACAAATACATTTTGACTCGTACAAATGCCTGAGAATGGGTAATTATGACTCAAACTCTTAACGGTCCTCTGTTCCATTTTGTACATATATACCTTTTCAGTACAGTACTAATGCATTTCCTCCCTTTTGCAAAGCTGAATCCATTCCAGGGTAACTTACCACAAAACAGGTTCCTTACACTTTATACTGAATACATGCTTCATAATAATGTTTAGTTTAGTGGATAAAAATTAAATTAGATACAATTAATTCTTATTGTGACAGAGTGATGTTTTTCCTGAATGTTGAATAAAACATTCAATTTAAGTTTCAAATGCATTTAAAGAAAGACTTCAAACCAATCAAGATCAACCAAGACCGAGACAAAAAGTAAATAACGAGTTCATTAAGAAACAACAAATATTTTATCTTGAGAATAGATGCAAACCAGCACCATGACAAAAGTCCAACTAACCGGAGTGTTAACCACGCTCGTTAACAGTCGTGTACAGTACTGAAAATCATCCCTGCTTGTGTAGGTGGATATATATATGCTGTACACCATTATATGTAAAGAACTTTTCCCAAAGAAGCTAATGAAATATTAGTAAATTATTGTTTGCAGAGTTACCGTATAATTTGCAGATGCAGCAATTATCCTTATGGCATTTCCCCTTTAGTAAGGCATTTAGTTTCTTTTCACAGTGCAACTCAGTTAGTAACCAATTAAATATATGCAGATCATCATTAAATACAATCTAACAAACTCTGATTTCAGTATTATATTTCCACTAAAAGTTGTTAATGCTCTAAGTTGCATAGATTTACAATTACATATCCAAGTTCCACTGCTGCAACACATGGGAGAGACATTTGTATTCAATGTGATTTAATGTACATTGCTCTTCAGCAAACCTAATGAATTAAGATGCTCATTCTCCTTTTATGCATATGGTATCGACATTCAGGGTGTTCATTAAATTCATAAGTGTAAAGTGTTTAGACTCGATCAATAGTAAATTCTTTAACCGACTTGTTAGTTCAGCTATTTTGTATTCAATACTTATTGGATCATCTCCAAAGCTTAAATAATAATAATAATAATAATTAAAAACTTCAGGCAATAAACCTATGGTATTTTGTATTATGCTAAATCTATGTCTTGTAATGGCAGTAATGATGCTGCCATAGAGAATATGATAATGTCAATGAGAGTATGATGATGTGAATAAGAGTATTATAATGTCAATGAGAGCATGATGATGAGAATGATTGCATGATCTTACAATACAGTATCCACATGCAAATGTAAATATATAGCACTAAAACATCAAGTAGGGATTAGACTTCATTTCAAGATCATGTTTCATCTGAATAGACTCTTTTCTCTCTCTTGAAACTGTTACAGATGAAATTTTATTTTCAAGTAAAGTCTCCTTCTAACTTCTGGTGAAAACAACTTTTTTTTTCAAACACCATACTCAAATATCAGAGGAATGTTTGTTATGTGCATTGATATAATTTATACGGTTTTAGTCAATAAATAATTGTTTATAAGTTTCTTAATTACCCTTGTTTCAATAAGAGCACATCATAATTTGTGCTAAAAAAATGTGCTAATGTTTAAATAAACTTTTATCCTCAATCATTTAAAACATTCAAGTACCATTGTAATGAGCCCTCAAATTTAATGGGTTTAGTATTTAGAAATTCACAAATTTTTTGTCAACACCAAAATTCGATATTCACAGGATTTTTTTTTCTTCAGAGATATTCATGCACAGGCCCTAAGCCTCTGGTTGACCCATTAAGTGTCATTCAGTTTTGCCTTACCTAGGCAGTGGATGAGTATTTATGATTCATATGTTGGCCTCAATAAGTTTATATCCAATGTGTTAAACAACTTCTGCCGTGTTAAATCTCGGTTGTAAACTTGTTTGGTTGGTAACTCTACAATGTGTTAGACAAGGGATGACTGGCATTCTTGCCAGTTGGTTTAGGCTTTAATTCCCATTATCGGGAAAGGCCTGTGTATACATGGCCTGTGTATACATGACCTATATATATATATATATACTGTATATACTTTAGACTTGCACCGAGGTCTTCCCTAGGTCAAACTACCAACCCTCCCCAAGATATAACTTCACAATAGTTGACTAACTTCTGGGTACCCATGTACTGCTGTGAACAGAGCATTAGGTGAAAGGAAATATTTATGACCCACCTGGGAACTAAATCTGAGATCCCTGATTTTGAATCGAGAACAAAGGCAACTGTGTTCCAGAAATTTTTGGGAAAACATTTTTGCTGTATGGCACCTCCCGAACATTCTTGCATCATGGCCCCTCCCGAACATGTTGTAATTTGTGATATAACCGAAGAAGTCAGTTCCCTCACACCACCAGAAGAAATGAAAGCTATTGTTTTCTCTCATATACAGAATTAATGAGTCATGTACAGCAGCATCTCACCATTTAATAGTCAGTTGTCACAGTTCTCCTCATGTGAATGTCAAATACAAGAAGTACTTGAAAATAATGTACATGTAGATGTTTTATCGAGATTGAAGTGAAAAAAAAAAAGGCCTTTTGGAAATCTCTGAACCATATTCTTATTTTTCCATATAACCATTGGTTTAATTGTTGCACATTCGATAATTGTGAGGATTCCAGGAACATATCCAGCAAATATTTAGGTCTTACTGTACACAATGAAACACAGGTGTTGGCAATACTGAGCTCTAATAATAAATGCTGACCTGAGAAACACTGATCATTTTTATGACAGCCAGTTTATTATATACAATACATTTGTATATACTAAAACTACCTTTAAAATGTTAGCAGTGATTACAATATACAGTGAGTCTAATCACTTCTACCTCTTATGAGTTTAACAATGAGAGTCAAAAGCTAAAGTGCATGAAAGTATTCAGGTATCTAATTCTATAACTCAAAAGCTGAGGCATGAACAGAGGTTTACAAAATTATTTAATTTTGTTCACAAAAATACTGTGAAAAATATTATTTTTGCCTTAACTTTTTAATAGGTATTGAATCAGATATGTATATATTTTCATTTGATGGGAAATAAGTTACTCCTGTTCTCTGGCACTTAGGAGTAATAAGAGCATCTTACCCTCGGGTTGCTTGATACCCGGAGTTATACAGCGCAAGAAATCATCAGGGGTCATAAATATTTCATGATCCCCATGATCACCATATACCTTCAGGGTTGCAAAGTACCGAAAAATCTTGTCAGGGGTTGAATATTGCCGTATGCGGTTCTCATACTCAATGATCTGGAAATTATGGTTATGCTGGCTTGGACACGTGTACAACACAAACCTTTAAAATTAGTCAGGACAATTTTATAAATCTAAAAAATTATAATATTTACCAAGAAAAATTTGCTTTCAGCAAATCAGAAAAGTAGATGTATTTCACTGTTTAACTCTACTTAAAATATTTAACAATATCTAAATTAAAACTAAAATTAACACTAACAAACAAAATTTGAATATCACATACCTTTCTATCCCTGAATCCTACGCGTTTGTTTTTCTTTTTCTCACAAACATTTCCTTCTGTGTCAGTCTCTTCAGCAGAGGATTCCAAAGAGCTGTTCTCATCCTCATCTTCCTCCTCTTCTTTAAGCTTATCAGCTTCAGTCATACTAGCAGCATCCACAACCAAGAATTTCATAACCCTAAAAATCATTTAATCTATTAATTTATATCAACTTCAAGGAGCTTGCATTTTTAGATATAATGCATGCCTGCACTAGTATTAACATTTGTTCAATTTTTTATGATTGGTATAGGCGAGATGCATCATAATGGGAGGGGAAAATGGAAGAATAGGGTTTGAGGGGTTTTGTTGTGTGGTCAGGGAAGCAGAGATAATATCAGGTGTAATAAAACTAACTTGAATTTCTTGAGCAAAACAACATACTGTAATAGTGAGCAGGCATTTTGGATTCAAACTGGAATAACAAATGCATTCATAACAAATTTACTTAGTTTTATGATAGGACCACTAAGATGGTGGAAAGAAATGCAAGTCTGCCTGACCATGACAGAAATGGTTGGGCAGATAGCATCTAACTGGACCTAAAATCCCACATGAGACTCCTCTGCTAGTTGGAACATGCACAAAAACTACAAGTATGATCGAAACATTTCCCGACAGGTTGAAAGATGGAAATAGTGGAAAGAGGCAATACAGTGGTACCTCGGAATGCGAGTGTCCCTGTATGCGAGTTTTTCGGAATACGAGCAGGATTTCCTCGAAAAATATGTCTCGGAACGCGAGGGTTACCTCGGGACACGAGTTTGTTGATACGCGTACAGGCCGACCCAGCGCGTGGTGGTTCGGCGATCGTCGCCCCTCCACCCCTCAGTTTACCATTGTCTCGCGCCCAGTGACTACCCCACATCAATTCTTCTCGAGGATTTTCAGTGTTTTGTTGGATTTTTGGTGATTTGACTATACAATTTGTTATTATATATCTCACCATGGGTCCCAAGAAAGCCAGTGGTAAGGATAAAGGCCAGAAAGCCCATGTGAGGATGACAATAGAGGAGAAACAAGAGATCATTCGGACGCATGAGAACGGTACACGTGTTGTTGAACTTTGTAGGCAGTACAACAAAGCCACATCAACAATATGCACTATACTTAAGAAGAAAAATGAGATTATGAGTGCTAAAGTGGCAAAAGGAGTCAGAACAATAACGAAACAAAGACCACAAGTACTTGAAGAAGTGGAAAAGTTGTTATTAATTTGGATACACGACAAGGAGTTAAGGGGTGACAGTGTTTCGGAGGCCATTATTTGTGAGAAAGCCAGGGTTTGGACAGATTTGTGGTGAGGAAATCGAGCAGTGAGCCTCAACCAGGACCTAGTGGCACTCAGATAAAATGTCCCAGGGAGAGCACACCAGAAAGGTCTTCACTGCCTGATGTGATAATGGAAGGGGACTCCCCTTCCAAACAGTAACTCCTCTCCTCCTCCCCCCTCCTCACCATCTTCCATACGCCTACAGCATTCAACAGCAAGGTAAGTAATAACTTGAACATAGTTTTGTAGGTTTATTTAGATGAATTAGGTATAAAAATTTAGTTTGATGTGGGGTTTTTGGGGTAGTCAGGAACGGATTAATTCATTTCCCTTTATTTCTTATGGGGAAATTAGCTTCGGAATACGAGGCGTCTCCAGGAACCAATTAAACTCTTAAACTGAGGTATACCTGTAAATCCATCTAGAGGAATGTCACTTGCGGAATCCCAAATGGCATGGAACTAGGGCCAGAGCCACATAAATGTGCTTACAAATGATAAACCACTGGAAGAATATAAGTACCAAATGCCTGCCATGTTTTTCAAAATCACCTAAGCAAAATAAGTGCATGGAGTAATACATGGAAACTTTAATTTAATGTTAAGAAATACCTCATTATGAGTGCATAATAAGTGAAACCAGGCCACTTTGACCTTCATATTATGTGAAAAAACTATAAAGAACTTATGCAAGAAGAGACATTTTGGGGTGATTATGGATAGCAAACCGTCACGAGAGGATCACATCAAGGGTAGTGTAATATACTACAGGTACCTTGCCTAATTTCAGAACCGTCTTCAAATACATTGATGGCATTTGGTCTTCATATCTAAAAATAAAGTGTCGACTAAAACAAAATGCCCCTTTCTGGGGAGGCCCTGAAGACTCCAGAGCTTAAGCACCTGATACCTGGTTGATTGGTTGATTTTACCGAGATTAGATTTACCTGACTTTACTGAGAACGTGCCTACTGCAATCAGGAAGAACCACACCCCTAACAAAGCAAAACTGGAGACCAAGCTCCAAGCTCAAAAAAAAAGTGTCCAAAAACAGCTCCAATAATGGGAATGGAGAGCACAAAAGAGCCACTGTCTTTGAATTCCAAAATAACCTTGATCCAGTATGAAACTGGGCCATAACATGCTAATACAGTATTTCTAAAACCTGCCCAGGAAGTAATATGTGGTAGCACCAGAAGAACCAAAACATTGGCTAGAAGACATGCACAAAAAATAAGGATCTAAAATAATCAGACATCGAAAAAAGTCAACATCTGGATGTCACAAAGACAGCTCATTAAGTAATCCCACCCCTGCAACTCCTCAAGGAAACCTAGTGGAAGACTAGAAGCAAAATTTAAGCCAAATGGCATGGCCCAAGTGTACAAATGTAGACACGGAGGAGACTTATCTGAAATCCCAGTCAAGCCTGGGACTGAGGGTAGATCGGCACATTTCAAAAGGTATCATACATAACCAGGAAAATTAGCCAAGTCATTTGAAACCTGGTGAGCCAAGAACATTAGCAGATAAACTGTGCAATTGACAAGGGGTTAGGACTGAGATACTTAAAAGAAACCTCAATTGAGAAACTGCCAGCCAAGAGGAAGCAGGTACAATAGTTTTTAATACAACCATGAAGCCAGTGAAAGAGAAAAACCAGAAGTTTTGAACCAAAACAAATGTGAGGACCCAACCTCATAGTAGCAGCAACAAACTGAACTAGACATGCACAGAAAAATTTTGAAATACACAACATTGTGAAAAAGAAATGACAGATTCAAATTTAGAAAACAAAGCTGCCAAACAAATTTACACAAATTCTCTCTTGTAAACAGAGTGGTATACCGATGTAACAAAGTAAATGAGAGGATAATGCATGTCAAAGCTAAACAAACTTCAAAATGTCACATGACAGATACAGGGAAGATTTGTACTACATTTGTACAGCACAAGAAAAGTTATCATCCTGTATCAACATTTAGTTAATTACGCTAAGTAGAAGTAATTACGCTAAGTAAACAAGCTAAATCAGGTGGTGACCTCCACCACCACCTCATTTAGCTTGTTCCAACCATCTAAGACTGTTTGTAAAAGTGAATTTTCTTATATTTCTTCGGCATCTTTGTTTAGTTAGTTTAAATCTATGACCTCTTGTTCTCGAAGTTCCAGGACTCGGGAAGTCTTCCTTATCAATTTTATCCATTCATGTTACTATCTTGTACGTAGTGATCATATCGCGTCATTTTCTTCTATCTTCTAGTTTTGGCATAATTAATGCCTCTAATCTTTCCTTGTAGCTCATGTCCTTCAGCTCTGGAAGCCACTTAGTGGCATGTCTTTGCATCTTTTCTAGTTTGTTGATGTGCTTCTTAGCACTTTAGTCCGGTAACGACGCAGCATTGCGTCAGTGGCTTCGGGAGGGGCGCACCGCGGTTTTGGATATTATATGCATATACTCCTGTAGGGAATTTCATTGCGAATACATTGATACCAAAATGAAAGACCTAGGACCAGAATTGAGGTAACAAAATTGAAAAAGAGTATACCCATTTTATTAGTGCTCACTGGGATTACGTTCCATCACTTTCTCCGTTTGCTGTTGGTGGTACGCCTGGCTTTTGGACTTTATATTTGCATATACTCCTGTAGGGAATTCTACTGCAAACACAATGTTACCAAAATGAAAGACCTAGGACGAAAATTGAGATGTCCAACGTGAAGAGAGTGTACACATTTTATTGCTCTTGCGCGCTTCTGGGTAATACACTTTTACTTTCTCACTTTCTTGCTGGGCTTTTGGGCTTTATGTGCATTTAGTCTTGTAGAGAATTCTATTGCGAACACATTGATACCAAATTGAAAAACCTTGGACGAGAATTGAGGTGACAAAGTTGAAAAGAGAATACACTTTCCAGAATTACCACGCGCTCCTGTGAAACGCTGAAACCCACCCGGGGAAGTGAGGGTCTCGCACGCGCAGTGAATTAAAGTGACAAGATATGGGCACCATACAACCGGTGCATATTCTAACTTTGGCCAAACCAAAGTCGCGAACAATTTCTTCAGTATTTCACCATCCATGTATTTAAAAGAAATTCTGAAGTTAGAAAGCGTAGCATAAGCTCCTTGCACAATGTTCTTTATGTGGTCCTCAGGTGATAGTTTTCTATCTAGAACCACCCCTAATCTCTTTTTTTTTTTATCAGAAGTTTTTAAAGATTTCCCACATAATTTATAGGTTGTGTGGGGTCTATGTTCTCCTAATCCACATTCCATAATATGGCATTTATGCACATTAAATTCCATTTGCCAAGTGGTGCTCCATATACTTATTTTGTCCAGGTCTACTTGAAGGGCATGACAATCATCTAAGTTTCTTATCCTTCTTATTATCTTAGCATCATCAGCAAACATGTTCATATAATTCTGTATTCTATCTAGCAGATCATTTATGTAGACAATGAACATCACCAGTGCAAGAACTGAACCCCTATAGTATTCCACTTAGGACATTTCTCCAGTCTGATACAATGCCTCTGATTACTGCCCTCATTTTTCTATCAGTTAAAAAAATTTCCATCCATGTTAGAAGCTTACCTGCCACCTCTCCAATATGTTGTTTCCAGAACAATCTCTTATGTGAAACTCTGTTGAAAGTCTTTTTTTTTTTTTTTTTAGGTATAGATAGATCAAACTGTTCTCGCAAATTTAATAAGTCAATATTGACTTATTAAATATGTGCATAGGTGACATACTTAACATAATAGTTTCCCTTGAAAAGCTTCATAGAAAACACAATAAGTTCGACCTTACCTAACCTACTTAGTATGTTAAGATAAGCATCTTATTGCTTCGTAATTACAATTATTACCTAACCTATACTTTGTTGATATTTTTTACCTATAATAGGTTAAGTAACAATTGTAATTACGAAGCTATAAGATGCTTATCTTAACATACTAAGTAGGTTAGGTAAGGTCGGTGTTTTCTATGAAGCTTTTCAAGGAAAACTATTATGTTAAGTATGTCACCTATGCACACAACTAATAAGTCAATATTGACTTATTAAATTTGCGAGAACGGGTTGAGATAGATGCAGTCAAGCCAACCATCTCTTTCCTGTAAAATCTTTGTGGCTCAATCATAGAAACTGAGTAAATTCGATACACAGGATCTTCTAGATCAAAAACCATACCGTCTGTCTGATATATAATCTCTCTCCAGGAGTTCCACCCATTTAGTTTTAATTATTTTTTTCAATATTTTGACTATTACACTTGTCAATACTACAGGTATATAATTGGTGGGGGGGTTCCAAGGGGTGGTCATAGCCACTTCAGAGACGCTGTGTTCAACGCTGCCATATCCACCTTTGGCAAGAAGACCAGCAGGTCGGCAGACTGGTTCGAGGCTCACTCGGAAGAGATGACGCCTTTCATCGAAGAGAAGAGAAACGCCTTGGCAGCCTACAAAGCCTGCCCAAGTTAGCGCAACTTACAGATCCTTCGGGCCGTCCGCTGCAAAGTGCAGCAGAGCGCCAGGCGATGCGCCAACAACTATTGGCTCCAGCTCTGCTCCCAGATACAGACTGCAGCGGATACAGGCAATGTAAGGGGAATGTATGACGACATCAAGCAGGCCCTCGGCCCAGTCCAGAGGAAGACCGCTCCTCTGAAATCTGCCACTGGCGAGGTGATTCAGGACCAGACACTGCAGCTGAAGCACTGGGTCGAGCACTACTCTGAGCTATACGCCAGGGACAATGTGGTCACCAAAGTCGCCCTGAGCGCCATTGAGTGTCTGCCTGTGTTAATGGAGCTCGACAGCGAACCGACCCTGGAAGAACTCAGCGATGCCCTAGACTCCCTTGCTTCTGGTAAAGCTCCTGGCAAAGATGGCATTCCTGCTGAGACCTTGAAGTGCTGCAGAGGTAGCCTGCTCATGGAGCTGCATGAAATTCTCTGCCTCTGCTGGGAAGAAGGAGAGGTGCCACAGGACATGAGGGATGCCAACATCGTCACGCTGTATAAGAATAAAGGCGACAGGGGCGACTGCAACAACTACCGTGGAATCTCCCTCCTCAGTATTGTAGGAAAGCTGTTTGCTCGAGTCGCATTGAAGAGGCTCCAAGTACTTGCAGAGAGAGTCTATCCAGAATCACAATGCGGATTCATAGCTGGCAGGTCCACCATCGACATGGTCTTTTCCCTCAGACAACTGCAGGAGAAATGCAGGGAACAGAAGCAGCCACTCTTCGTAGCCTTCATAGATCTGACGAAGGCCTTCGACCTCATCAGCAGGGATGGCCTGTTCAAGATCCTCCCCAAGATCGGATGCCCACCCAGGCTCCTCATCATCATCAGATCTTTCCATGAGAACATGAGGGGCACCGTGGTCTTTGATGGCCTAACATCAGACGCCTTTGACATCCGAAGTGGAGTAAAGCAGGGCTGCGTACTGGCTCCAACCCTATTCGGAATTTTCTTCGCAGTTATGCTGCAGCACGCCTTCGGATCTGTCATGGAAGGCATTTACCTCTGGACCAGGTCAGATGGAAAGCCCTTTAACCTCGCCAGGCTGAGAGCCAAGACGAAGGTTCGGCTGAGGTGTCTGCGCGACTTCCTTTTTGCCGATGACGCAGCAGTCACTGCCCACTCAGCTGAAGACCTTTAACGGCTCATAACCCACTTCAGCGAGGCCTCTCAGGCTTTCTGACTCACCATCAGTCTGAAGAAAACACAAGTCATGGGACAAGGAGTAGACTCCCCACCTGACATCGGCATCTCCGATTCCAAACTGGAAGTCGTTCACGACTTCGTGTACCTGGGCTCCACAATCTCTGACTCCCTCTCTCTTGATACGGAGCTAAACAAACGCATCGGTAAGGCATCTACTACCATGTCCAGACTGACAAAGAGAGTGTGGGCCAACAATAGGCTAACTGAGTATACTAAGATTCAGGTTTACAGAGCCTGTGTCCTGAGCACTCTCCTTTATGGCAGCGAGTCTTGGACACTTCACGCCCGCCAGGAAAGACAGCTGAATGCCTACCACATGCGCTGCCTTCGACACATCTTGGACATCACCTGGCAGGACAAGGTGACAAACAACAACGTCTTGGGGAGAGCAAGAATCACCAGCATGTACACAATGCTGAAACAGAGACGAATGCGCTGGCTCGAGCACGTTGTGTGAATGGGCGACGGCAGGATCCCCAAGGATCTCCTGTACGGAGAGTTGATGCAGGGAAAGCGTCCAACAGGCAAGCCCCAGCTATGGTACAAAGACGTATGCAAGAGGGACCTGAAAGCCATGGACGTCGATCTTGCTATATGGGAGACACTGGCTGCAGACCGTTCAGCCTGGGGGCAGTCTGTTCAAAGAGGTCTCTCCAAGTTCGAGGAGTCACTTGCCAAGGAATCGGAGGCAAAGAGACAGAGAAGGAAAGCCGGTAGCCAGGAAGACAGACCAGAATCGGACTTAGTTTGTGCTCGGTGTGGGATGGACTGCCACTCTCGGATTGGCCTCATCAGTCACACCAGACGCTGCACCAGGATTGACAACTAGGGCGCAACTCCATAGTCTCCCGAGACTGAAGGATGCCTACTACTACTATAATTGGTGGGGGTCTTCCCTGCTGCCACTTTTGTAGATTGGAATTATGTTAGCCTTTTTTCCACACTTCTGCTACGACTCCTGTACACAGGGATGCATGAAAAAACAGCTGAAGTGGAATGCTAAGCTCAGGTGTACATTCTCTCAGGACCCATGGTGAAACTAAACCTTAAACTAGTTTCTTACTAGTACTCTTTCTTACTAGTTACTGAACATGGTGCTCCTTAACACTAAAATGTTAAGGAGCACATGCTCGAACAAAAACCCTATTCTAAAAGACTACTGTATTTGTAAAAGTTACAAATAACATTTTAGATCTTTCTATTTACACAGTTTTCAAACAACTGATATTGGCAAGATACTTACCAGTCCCAGTTGATTACAGAAACTAAACAGCAAACACCAACAAGCAGGCAGTATAATTTGGCAAATGTGCCCTCATCTCGCTTTTTATGGCCAAAGTTTTTGTACCGGCACACGTGCATAATGCCACAGCTTGCAACTGGCAAAAATGACCTGGAAAAAAATATGGTTCAATCATATTAGGAAAATTGTATTCAGTACTTTTTTTTTTTTTTAGAAAGGAGGGTGTACTACATTTGTATTAAAGTTATAATGAGAACAAGATGTGCTCTTTCCATATGTACTGTACTATAAAAAATAATTAAAAGTGAGTTTTAGATAGTATTGTACTGTATAAAAATATAAATGGATTATACAAAATATTGCTAAAAAACTCGATATCGGGACATAAGTGTTCCAAATGTATTAAATATCAAAGGATATGTTAAACATTCCATAACTTGGAAGCTCTCTTCGAGAAACGTGGACTGAGAGCTTTACCAGGTTCTAGGACATTTTTTGTAAGTCAATTGCTATCACTTGGAGCAGCAAAAGGGATAGTACATAAATTTATTTAATTTAAATTTAAATTCAAATTTTTATTCAAAACATTGTATATGAAGAACATAGGAGTAATGTAAAATTGTGGGAACAGGAGTTACACAAACTAATGAAGTCACTATTACGCAAAGCATTTCAGGCTATGGTTATTAATACAAAGGAATGACGAGCACAACAATTGTATTCCCAACTCTTACAGTTTACCACAACTGTGGATATCAAGTAACTAATTCAATAATACAGTACTACTGTTAAGCATTATATAGGCTATGTATAATAGAACACACACTGATATACAGTACCTATCTAAGATAATGTTATACCACACCTTAATAACCTGTATGATGATACTCACTCATTATTTCTTTGAGCTATCCTATTTGTCACTCCAGTTCTGTTTTGAATAGTATGCAATCTTGCAACTTGAGCATACAGTCTGAAGGCCAGAGATGGGTTCCTAGTAAATAAACCCATACTTCCTGTGACATGACTACCAGTAAGCCCACGGCTGCGAGCAAGGACTGGCAAGAGCCGAAGCAAAGGCCCACTCATCCGGCTTCGAATTAAGCAACCTGAAATCACACTATACAATAAAACAAGAGCAATGAGCTGTAAATTCATTATTTGTCAATTTGTAGTTTACTTCTATGGAAAGTAACACTACATAAAATTCAGAACAGTATATATGTACCATATACACCTATGATTAGATTACAGCAGCCCAGAGTACAGTACCTACTTGTAGTTATAGGACAAGAGCTATATTTGTGGTGTCCAGTCACTTTTATACTGAACATTTTAATGCACATGAATTTTAAACTTCAGTGGCATTAGCACACATTACTTCCTCTTAGAACTTATTCTACCCATCTGTAGTTAATCAACTGTGGCCTCTTGTTTTGCCAGATTCGTGTTTCTACCTGAAATTTACCCGAGAGCCACTAACACTAGTGGCCTCAACAAGGACAGGAAGCTGGCGGCTTATCGAAGGTCCCACCATTTGCTTTAATGATTTTTTCCAGTTGTACTTTAAAAGTTAACAGAATTTTGGCATTTATTACTTTGGCAGGTAGGCCGTTCCATGGGTTTATAACCCTGTGGGTGAAAAAGCATCTCCTGTTCTCAGTCCTACATTGTGGCTTGTTGAGCTTGGAACCATTGCTCCTTGTTTGTGTTACATCTGATTTTTTAAAGAAATTTTCTGTATCAACATCATCCAAATTTATCAGTACTGTACTGTATTTGAAAAGTTTCTTTGAGATCCGCCCTGTCATGCCTGGTTTGCAGTGTTGTTAGCCCTTAACCGTTCCTGATACGGGAGATGACTAAGCTCTGGAATGAATTTAGTTGCCCGGTGTTGCACTTTCTCCAGAGCAGCTATATCCTTTTGAAGATGTGGTCTCCATGCTTTGATACAGTAATCCAAATGGGGGCACACCAGAGATTTACACAATTGAATCGCTGAGTTTTAAAAACTCTCCCGTCTGTTTTCTCATAACCATTAAAAAACTTTGAACGTAATCCAGTATACAGTATATGTACCAGTATTGTACACTATTGGTACAGTATATGATTATCATATCACCCAATCTGGACAAACAAAACCCTTACCTTTTTTAATGGCTAATATTTCTAGTTTTGGAAATAATTTTGTTGCATCTTTTGTACTAATTTGCACTCAATATATATTTCTTTAGATGCAGGTAACAAATCAGCTGCAATTTCAGATAAGAAATGTATTTTAAATATATACAGCACTATATAGCAAATCATTTCACAATTTCTCCATTCATGTACAGAACTGCATTCAAAGTGTTTTAGTGGAGCTTAATTTACATAATTTTACCTGGATTTGGGTAAGTTGAGGAACAAGTTTGCATATGCTTACAGGCACTTGATACAAGTGGTTTGTTTAGTTTTCAAATATATTTACAAACACAAAAGCAATAGAAACTTAACAGCAATTCATCCCTCAGTCACAGGCCTACAGAGACATATGAAGTATTGAAGAGCAAGACAATGGTGATACCTCAGTAGTGTCAAATACCTAGGTTATATGTACTCAAGTTGGACCCTGGTGCAACTCATACACTGGTAAACTTAACCCACACCTACTTTTAATCCTATAAATCAAATCAAATCAGTAATGACTAATCTGCACATGACAAACAATATAGCCACAAATTTAAATTGCCTAGCTAAAAAAACATTTGGCATCAGTTCCTGAATCTATCGTGTAACTGTAATCTTTCACTCACTGCCCACGGGATGGATATGGGATGCATTATATGCTAATTAAGCCACAAACAAACTATACCCATTACACACAGAAATCACAATTGCGTGATGCATCAAATGAACAAATCTTTGTTCATTTGATGCATCACGTTCAAGATTTGTTCAAACTATACCCATCCGCCTCCACCCCAATATCAGCAGGGACCTCACTAACTCTTGATATAACCACTGACAACCATGAACTTAACCTCTCCCCACGAGCAACAACATCAGTCATGGATATCTGACCTCAGTGGTGAACATTCTGACTCTGAAATATTGCCACAATAATAAAATCATACTTAAAAATGATCGGAGAAGGCAAGTTGGAGAAAGCAATGGCGATCAATGTTGTGGTGAGGAGGCGTGTCCGGCTGAGCTCGGCCTGGCCTCGCCTTGTATATTATGCTTGGCTCCACTATTCATACATAACAAATATATATTATAAACTTATATGGTAAAAATTCAATGCATAAATCTCAGTTTAGGTTCTGTAGGTAAATTTCTTACACTTTAGTAACTGATTTTAAACTTAAGCTCAAGTAAAAAACATCTTGACGAAGTAAGAACAGCATTCGAATCTATTTATAATTTTACGTAAATATTTCTATAACCTCAACTAAATTAATTATAAATTTTCATTAGCCCTTGAAAATAAAGGAAACTGTATATGGTTCACAATAAATTTAACTGCCAATAAATTAATGAGCATATATGAGATGAACAACAAACTCACAAATAGTATAACCTGAGAAAACTTTATTATTGTATTTATGTATATATATAAGAGTTCTTACATTCTTGTAAAGCTACTAACACACAATCTTCCTATTGTTTGCTGTCTATAACAAACCTATATTGTTTGCTGACGTTTGGGGCATGTTCTCGTTTTGTATTGAATCTTCCTATTATATGCTGTATTGTGACTACCAATTTTTGTCAACTACCATTCAAGCTGTCATTGCAATCAATCTTATATTGTTTCTGCTGTATTGTGCCTACCAATTTGTTGTCAACTACCATTTTAAGCTGTCATTGCAATCAATCATAGCTACCTATGTGCTTTAATATACTGTACCTATAATTTTCTCTCATCTTTTTTTTTTCATTCCATGTAATCTGTTATCATTTTTTGTCTATAAATTTTGCAAGTATTTACCTCCTTAAAATTTTCTTAGATTAAGGACCTGCCCGAAACGCTGCGCGTGCTAGTGGCTTTACAAGACTGTAATTACCATATTTGTATCCTCACATTCCTTATGTACATTCTTGTATATGCATAAATAAATAAATAAATAAATAAATAAATATTATACGCATGGGTTGAGGCCCTTTATATGCAGGTATATGATGGTAGGAATTAGCGACTTGCAATCACGCTAATATAAACCCAACGTTCTTATTATATAAGCACCTTGCTAACTCTATGACAACCCACCAAAAACACCAACAGCTATTAAAAATTATTACGTTTTTTTCCCCTCCAGTTATAGATAACTGGATATAGATTTTGAATTTGAATAACAAAAAAGTTACCATTGAGGCGGGTCAGTGAAGAGTGGCGTTCCCTGACTAATATATAGTATATATATATACTGTATATACATATACACACACTATATATCTGGTGGTGTCACGGTGCTTCATGGACCTGTACGCCTTCTGCAAAGGTTTACCCAAAATAGTGAGTGGAGGGTAATAGTAATATTTGTTATCATATGAGGAGTACACCTTAGAGGGAGGCCTTGTGTGTGGGCACTCAGTTTCCACCTGTGTCCCCTTGTGCGTGTTCCCCTTGTGTTAAATTGTCATTTAAGTTTATCATGCCCGAAACGCTTTGCGTAATAGTGGCTTTAGGCATTGTATGTACTAGCTATACCTATAAGTTAAACAATCCTTGTAAATATTTATTGTATGTATGTACCTTACCTAAATAAAATTGTATTGTATTGTATTGTATTGTATTGTATTGTATTGTAAATAGACTGTCTTTATCTACCCTATCAATCCCCTTCAGAATCTTGAATGTGGTGATCATGTCCCCCCTAACTCTTCTGTCTTCCAGCGAAGTGAGGTTTAATTCCCGTAGTCTCTCCTCGTAGCTCATACCTCTCAGCTCGGGTACTAGTCTGGTGGCAAACCTTTGAACCTTTTCTAGTTTAGTCTTATCCTTGACTAGATATGGACTCCATGCTGGGGCTGCATACTCCAGGATTGGCCTGACATATGTGGTATACAAAGTTCTGAATGATTCTTTACACAAGTTTCTGAATGCCGTTCGTATGTTGGCCAGCCTGGCATATGCCGCTGATGTTATCCGCTTGATATGTGCTGCAGGAGACAGGTCTGGCGTGATATCAACCCCCAAGTCTTTTTCCTTCTCTGACTCCTGAAGAATTTCCTCTCCCAGATGATACCTTGTATCTGGCCTCCTGCTCCCTACACCTATCTTCATTACATTACATTTGGTTGGGTTAAACTCTAACAACCATTTGTTCGACCATTCCTTCAGCTTGTCTAGGTCTTCTTGAAGCCTCAAACAGTCCTCTTCTGTTTTAATCCTTCTTATAATTTTAGCATCGTCCGCAAACATTGAGAGAAATGAATCGATACCCTCCGGGAGATCATTTACATATATCAGAAAACAAGATAGGACCGAGTACAGAGCCCTGTGGGACTCCACTGGTGACTTCACGCCAATCGGAGGTCTCACCCCTCACCGTACTCTCTGCTTCCTATTGCTTAGATACTCCCTTATCCACTGGAGCACCTTACCAGCTACACCTGCCTGTCTCTCCAGCTTATGTACCAGCCTCTTATGCGGTACTGTGTCAAAGGCTTTCCGACAATCCAAGAAAATGCAGTCCGCCCAGCCCTCTCTTTCTTGCTTAATCTGTGTCACCTGATCGTAGAATTCTATCAAGCCTGTAAGGCAAGATTTACCCTCCCTGAATCCATGTTGGCGATTTGTCACGAAGTCCCTTCTCTCCAGATGTGTTACCAGGTTTTTTCTCACGATCTTCTCCATCACCTTGCATGGTATACAAGTCAAGGACACTGGCCTGTAGTTCAGTGCCTCTTGTCTGTCGCCCTTTTTGTATATTGGGACCACATTCGCCGTCTTCCATATTTCTGGTAGGTCTCCCATCTCTAGTGATTTACTATACACTATGGAGAGTGGCAAGCAAAGTGCCTCTGCACACTCTTTCAGTACCCATGGTGAGATCCCATCTGGACCAACCGCCTTTCTAACATCGTGTGTACTCATCTAGTTGTGCTTGCGGGGGTTGAGCTCTGGCTCTTTGGTCCCGCCTGTCAACTGTCAATCAACTGGTGTACAGGTTCCTGAGCCTATTGGGCTCTATCATATCAACATTTAAAGCTGTGTATGGAGTCAGCCTCCACCACATCACTGCCTAATGTATTCCATCTGTTAACTACTCTGACACTGAAAGTGTACTAATACATACCAACCAGAGTGTACCACACAACCAAAGTGTACCACAACTCAAATGAACTATGTATCAACCCAAATGAACTATGTATCAACCCAAATGAACTATGTATCAACTGAAATGTACCACACATTAACCCAAACTTATCCACAACCACCCAAAGCCAAGTTGTGCAGCTCTCCATGGTGCTCCTTTCAGTAGGATCAAAACCTTACCCAAATTACATAAATAAAAAGACAAACTTTTTTTCTCACACAATGTAATCAATTAGGATATGAAAAACATATTTTTACTATTATTTAAACTTAATAAAGTACACCATAAGCCTATGTCAATACAGTGAGCCTGTGTACAATTAGTACAGTACAGTACATCACGAGCCTGTGTTCACAGACTGCAGCATTCCATGAGTATTGTTAAAAAAAATGATAGTTCCTTATATGGGCCTGTATCTAAATAGAGCATTTTTTCCACCTATGAAATCAAACATTATTATTAAGTTCTGCCACTTTTGTAACTACAAATGTAGTGCAGGTCCTGTACATAAATAATAAAGGGTAGAATACCTGTGAGGTATCATGATGATATAATGTAATAAAAGAGGTGTACAGTAAATGTATTGACAAAATAATTGTAATGAGCCTTGAGGTTGAGCTTTTTATAAGGCTGTCATATACCAAAATACATGTACAGTACTGTAATACATTCTACGTGCAGCACCAACATTACAGAAAGTAAATATACCATATTTTTTCATTACTTATGTAATGCTAGGAGGATTTGGGTACATTTGGGTAATTCTACAGACTGCTGTAATACTTGCACAAATTTCATGTACAAACTAACATGTGGGTGAAGCCACTTTTATGCAGTAAAATTGTTGTGTTGTGATATTTCCAGGAACTACATGCCCATCTTACAGGATCCCTGAGTGACAAGACAGTGCTAAGACTTCTAGAGGCTAAACGCAAGGATGGGCAAGTCAATTTACCAAAATCTGCCGAGGCTACAATTCAGCGGGGACACAATCGTACACTTGAAGAGTTATGTTATTTCTGATGATTTAATGAATATTAATTTTCTGTTAGATTTGGTAAAAACCTACAAAAGAAATGTCGTCATCTATATAGTCGTCTCTCAGTTTGGAGTTTCTCTACAAGGTTAAAATATAATTTCTTTTAGACATAAAAATACAGTACAGTACTGCTCTATAATTTAATTAAAAGATATAAGAGAACTTTAAAAATACAGGTAAATTGTCATTTTAAGAGTCATTAAAATATACATTAGGAATAAACTTAAGCATTCTGTATGCAATGCTGTTATACAAGAAAGGTAATAATGATATCTTGCTTTAAAATTGTTTAGTTTAGTTTAGTTCATTTATTATGCACCCCATACCCATCTTGTGGGTAGTAGTGGAAAGGGTTACAGAGGCACATAATGGGCTCAGGGACTGAACCCCACAATTCATTTAGCTAAGCAAGTTACAATCTTGATGAGCATGTTAAAATGTTAAAAGTGATTAATTAATTCCTTTACAAATGAGAATTTGTCACAAAATTATAATGAGATTAACCTTATTTTCCAGGTGCTTTAAAATATTTGGCATTTTACACTGCCTAACAGACAGCATAGAAGCAGTTAAGAATATAACAAAAGATGTCATTCAAGAGTTTGTATCTGATAATGTCAAGTACTTAGAGCTGAGGACAACACCCAAATCCATCCCTGGCAAAATGTCTAAGAAGGATTATATAGATGCTGTACTTGAAACCATGTTGTAAGTTCCCAATATAATTTTAAGTAGACTATTTTGCATACTGAGATTTAACATGGTCCACATGAAAGTGGGATAATTTTTTTTATAATTTTCTGAGCTTTACCTCTTGATTACTCTCCTAAGACAAAGTCTTATTTGTTTTTTGTATGGGATGATGATCATTCATGGCAGGGTCAGCATTTTGTACTGTATCCTTAGTAACATTACTTTCATTATGCAGTGGGCTTATACTATAAGTGAATGCTTCTTGTTGGTGTGTGTGTAAATATATTCTAGTGTTTCCTGACTTCAACTGTTTGGATACCAGAGTCATTATCTCTGGTGCTGAGTTTGGTTACTGCTTCAGCATTGGCCATCTCCCCTTGAGATTACCACTGCATTCACAGAGCATTGTAACTTTACTATAGGTCATGGCCTTGTGCACTGGATAATAAAAAATCATTAGTTTGCCATGATGACTCTTTCCCGTAAATGACAATTTATTTCTTGTCTTAAACTTCAAGTGTCTTGGCAATAGGATCACCTATAAACACCTGCTTGTAAACTTATCAGTGGTTGTAATATAGCTTTGGACTGCTATGCAGCAACTCTCTCTCTCAGGTAGGTACTGCACTTTATAATAAAAACTATACTGTACAGTATTTGATCACTGCATCACCCATGTATGGGGCACAATCCGTTCTATTATCCCCAGGTTATGCCTCGCCAGGTTTTCGTGACTGCATTTAATTTTGAGTTTCTGTTTTGACCACAGGCTTCCTCATCTAACCCCATCTTTGGGTTAGATGAGGTTAGAAGAGTACGAGGATTGGCAAAGTTTAGCATGCCAATGAAAACCATGATGCATTTGAACTAAACTATCTGCTGGATTTTCACATAGAGTTATTTAATCCCAATGGCCATTCTTTCTACCTTTTGCATTTCCTTGGATGGGTTCAAGGATGCTTTCATCCTCAGGTGTGTCTTGTCTGCCATTTATGTGCAACAACCTTACTTGACCATTCATCAGGGAAGGCTGCTTATACTGCGGCTAAAGTTTCAGATATGGAGATTCCAATTCTTGGCTCAAGCTGAATCCTCACAGGCTTCACTCTTTTTAGAAGGTATAAACCTTTTTTGTTCAGTTGATCTGCAAGTCTAGATCACAGGATCGGAAGGGCTTTGCTCAAATGCACCTCAACACATACTGTGCACTGATTCACTTCCCTCACTCTGTTATATCATTTCTGTACAGTACTTCTTTCCTCATTATTTTACTCTTATTCCTGTGCAAGGGTATAAAGCATTTCTGCATTTGTTTATTCATGTGGCACTTGTCCTATTCTCCAAGCACATTTAATGTTTTGTGCAACCAATACAGTATATTTACTATGTCTAAAGTATAGGTGGTGCATTGAAGCATTAAAATTAGATTAAAATTATTCCAGATGCATTGAAACTAGGATAAAACTACTGGTGTACAAATTCCCGAGCCTATTGGGCTCTATCATATCTACATTTATCATATCCCGGGTAGGACAGGAATGGTTGGGCACATTTCCTTTCACCTAATGCCTCTGTTCACATAGCAGTAAGTAGTTACTCAGGAGTTAGTCAGCGTGTTATGGGATTGCATCCTGGGTGGGGTCAGTAATTCGACCTTGGGGGGGACCTCGATATAAACCTAACGTGTATGAATACACTGGCTTCCTGTCCCCTGACACAATGAATTATTATTATGAATTACCCGGTGTATTTGAAACTGTGTATGGAGTCCTCCACCACATCACTGTGGTGGAGGCAGTGATGCCTTTTCCACACTAATCTTCTGGTCAATGTATATTTCACACTAATCCCCCAGCCATCTCCTCTTCCACACTAACCCCAGTCATCATCTTTTCCACATTAATTCCCCTGGCCAATGCCTCTTCCACACTAATCCCCTGGCCATTGCCTCTCTCACATTAATTCCCCGGCCCTTGCCTCTTCTTCACTAATACCCCGGCTCACTCCTCTTCCATCTTTCGTACATCTACTGTTCAGTACAGTACATAACTTTTAGGTTGGAACCATTTTACCTACAATTTTATAATTATCCTTAAATATTATAAATACAGACAAGAAATGAAGACCAGTAGGATTATTGTGCGACTGCTGTTATCCATAGACCGTTCCCGTGGTGTGGACGATGCTTGGGATACTCTACAGCTGGCTAAAGAGTACATTTCTTGTGTAAGTAAAGACTAATTAAAGTAAAAAAATATACCTTGCTTAGTGTCAGTTGTTTGCTGACACTTAGCTGATTTAATAATAATTGATGTATCTAGATTTGTATCTTATCAGTTAATGGCATGTAATTTATCAAGAGTAACGGATAGTCACTTCAAATCAAAACAAAGATCTCCACAGTATTATAAATGCCTTTTTTTGTGGGTGTTTGTGTTAGGTATTTTCAGAATGTTATTTCTTTTAAACATGGTTACTTATAAAAACTACAATATTCAGTACTCTATAGTTTTCATAACATTTGTTTTAAGTACAATACTGGTATTAATAGTTTTACAACAGTTGCTTCGTTCATGTTTTTCATATTATTGATAGCTACCATAACAATTTATTATGTAAGAATTTGTATTAAAATACAATGACTTCATGTATTAATGAAATATGCATATCTTTCCAGGAGATGTACAAGTTCTTGATATGTGGTATAGATGTCAGTGGTAATCCAAAGAGTGGTAATTTAAGTCATTACATCCCTGTGTTGGAGGAAGCAAAGAAATGTGGGCTTAAATTGACCATTCACTTGGCAGAGGTATGCATAGTGAATAAATGTAGATGATAACCACAGTGATAACATTATATGATAATGAAGGGGTATCCTTCATACGGAAGGGTCATACACTAAAGCGTTATTATAACAGACATTCATTAAAGGGAACATAGAAATAAGCTAGGAATTAAGATTTGTTACTAGAGTAAGTGGGTATATTGAAGAGAACCTGAAAATTTCCTTATACTGTACAGAGAAATTGCAAATTTCCATATACAAAGAGAAACTGCAAATTTCCATATACAAAGAGAAACTGCAAATTTCCATATAAGTGTAGAGTATTTTGTCTTCTTCCAATAATATAAACTCTAAGATTGCCTAAATGTATAATTAGGGCATGATTGATTACTTGCAATTCAATAACTTACAAAATTATTCAAGAATTAATCCCTATTCTTTCATTTGCCAGTAAATACCTTGTCTGTAGTTAATATTTATAGATACTGTAGTAACAATGATTAATTCCATTCATTTTATTCCCCTATTTTAATTAACAAAAATACTTCCTCCTCTGTTTCAAATTCATGTTTTCAAATTTATGAAAGTTATAAAAGAAGCCAGGTGATGTGATGAAGTACAAAGATGTTCAGTTTGACAGAGTAAGGTTTATTTTAAGGCGTAATTAAGAAATTATCCAGACTTGTAAAGATACTATTCAAATAGTAACTGGTATTACAGAGTAATTAAATATTAAACAAGTTATACAAGTCATCAAAAAATATTGGGCATTACAAGGTGAGACATGAGTATATAGAAAGCTAGTGTTGTTTATGAGGAAAAAAGTTGATCAGGATGATACTGCATGTAACATTAAGAAGTATACAGTCAGATCATCACAGGACTGTTGCAATACGCACTGGTTGTAAGATATCTCAAGAAGCACATCAACAAACTGGAAAAGGTGCAAAGACATACAATTAAATGGCTTCCAGAACTGAAAGTTAAGGGCTACGAGGAAAGGTTGGAGGCATTAAATATGGCAAAACCATAAGAATAGAAGATAATAGAGAACACAAGGGGGGGGGTTTCACTGCATAGAAAATAGTAACGGGAATCGACAAAATTGATCAGGAAGAATTCCTGAGATCTAGAATTTCAAAAACAGGTCATAGATTTAAGATAACTAAACAAAGCTGCCAAAGAAATATAAGAAAATTCATTTTTGCAAACAGTGGTAAATGATTGGATCAAGTTAAATGAGAAGGTGATGCAGGCCAAAACCATCAGTAGTTTCAAAGTGCTGTTTGACAAAGAGTGCTGGGATATAAGACACCATGAGCACAGCTCTCATCCTGTAACTACACTTAGATAATTACACTTAGGTAATTACTACTAAGTTCCATAGAAATAAAGTACATAGCAGTCTCCTAGGAACAGACAGACAAGGACAATCCTCCCAACTCCCAGACTTGAAGCAAACATCAGTAATCATGACCATCTCCTAGAGAGAACCATTGGAACTAGATTCCCAAAGTGTGAACCTATTATTATATTCAGGAGGCATGCACTAGGCAAATTCTAAACCCCCATACAAAAATAAAATCTTTCATTTTTATCATTCTTGTTAAGGACAAAAATGTGAAATGGTTCTCTAGGTGAAAGTGTAATTCTTAGTGAAAGGAAAGTTCAACACCAAGGTATAGGCTTGGGAACAAACATCAAAGCATCACGAAGGTGTAGACTTTGAAACAAATATCAAGGCACTGCCAAGGATGTGGTACAATTCTAGAGGAGCTTAACCATGCTGACAGCAATGTCAGACTGCTTCAGAAAACATATTTATGGGGCTATTGTCCTTCATCAAACCGCACAAAAGAAGAAAACCCTGAAAGGTAGTTGCAGCTGATAGATCTTTTTGTCTTATTGTTTTTAGTTGCATTTCCCGTATTATTTAGTTACCTACAGGCCTCCTATCTCTCATTCCTATCTTCATTACCATACACTTATGTGGATTAAATTCCAGCAGCCATTTATCTTCCCACTCCTGAGGTTTACCAAGGTCTTTGTGAAGCACTACAGTCCACTACTTTTACCCTTATTATACTTAAGCAATTTAAAACTAAAAAGCTGTACAATAAATACATTTATATGGTATAGAGTACATTATGTTTATAGATTGAAACTGATCAAAGACAAATATATATACTGTACTGTATTTACATTGCATTAAATATATTCTGTATTGTTATTGTTTATTCATTCTAGAACTGTACTGATGATTATTCTTGATAATCTCAGATTCCAAATGAAGCAGAAACCCTTGCAGTCTTGAAATCTGGCCTAGTGGATCGCATAGGGCATGGAACTTTCATTCATCCTAACAGTGGTGGGTCTCAGGAGCTACTGAACTATGTTCATCATAATCAGATACCATTGGGTAAGATATTTGAAGTTATTTTATGTCTCATGGTTACTGCTCTAACCACCACCACCACACAAGACCTCAGGAAACACCTGCACTATACCTCAACTTAGTACATGTACCTGCAGTTCTGTACATTCTCTTGACATACTGTTCAACAAACACAGTCACAGGATCTATGGGATGTTGCATGCAACACTGATGAGTATATGTGGTGGCAGTAAATTGTGAACAGTTTTGCGTTGAAAATTTTGAGTTCATAAGATGGTGGCAAGAAGTCGGTCCACTTAACAGATGGCAACTCTAACATACACATTGGCATAATTGCTTAACTGACTTGCAACATAAACTTTTGCTCCAGTACTTCTCACATGGTTATAGGAATTCAACAAAAACCCATTCATTCTAAAATTCTATGATACCAGTGCTAGCAAGGGTACAATCATATGTATAATTACTATATGGAGTATGTCATCCCTGACAAACCTTAATATAAACTCTTACTATTTAAGGATAGATACCAGTTGACATTAAGCTTAAGAGGTCATTTCCCAGTGGAGGGGTATATTATGCAGTTGCTCATAATTTTCATGTGTTTGTATGTGCCCTTCTAAGTAATGGAAGATGGAAAAATTGCTATTGTGAGATCTGTCCACCTCCCTACCCGTTTTTCACCTTAACACATTTTGAGCTCATAGATGTGATAAATATTTTGGAGTGAATGCACATCATACTATATTAAGACAGAAAGAATACTAAGAAACAGAGGAGAAAACATTATGTTCTGAATGTTTTTTGTTTACATTAAAGAATTAAAGGTATGATAAACTATAAGCTAAATTGTTATCTCATTAAATTACGTTAATTCGTCTTGAATATCAAATGACTTTTAAATTTGTAAGTTTTGTATTTATGGTACTTTATATTAGGTGGAATTTCCTGGGATAATTGAACTAGTGTATTTCTCTTACTAAAATCACAATTCTCAATACTAATATTATCCCTATATTCACAGAGTTGTGCGTTTCTTCAAATGTGAAAACCGGGACAGTGAAAAGTATTCAAGATCATCACTTGACACAGTGGAGAAAAGATGGTCACCCAGTCATAATTTGTGTAAATGCCCCTGCTTTTTTTTACTGATAATTTATTTCATTTGTATTCCAGTATTACAAATGTGAACTTATCTTTAGGGCAAATCCATTTTTTGTATGTTAGACCAATAGTTATGAGCACTAACATTTTTGGAGGATGGAGTTTAATTATTTTATAATCTGTGCTAAGCCACATTAAACCAGTGTAATGTCAAAATTCAAAACTTGGTACTGTATGTGCTTACCTGCATAGACTGGATCCACATTCTCCAGTACAAGTCCACACAAATTTTGGCCTGCCTGTACTAGGAAGCACTAGAGGAAATCATCCAGATTTAATAAGTTATAGGAAGCTCAAATCATAGTATAGTGTCATCTTGCTTGACTGTGCACGATCTTGTCTATTGAATACAAAGGAGCAGTTTTGGGTCTCTGTAGTGCCAGAGCTAGTGAGTGGCTAGGAGAGCTATACGTTTACTATACCAATAAATGATATGAACAAATTTTATAGGTCTTGATTAGTTAATGAATTTTTACATGTAGTTATGCTGTATAATATTTGTTTTTTCCTTATGTTTTGCAGACAGACGATAAAGGTGTATTTTCCACTTCACTAAGTGAAGAGTTTTGCCTATGTGCAGAGGTAAGTTGAGTAACATCAAGTTGTAGCAAATATCTAATGTCTTCTATGACTCACTCAATGAACCCCATTGCCAAGAGAGAGAAAAAGGGATTAAACATTAATACCGAGAGTCCCGATTATACAAATGTCCACTCTTTACTACTGCACTTTATTATTAATAAAGTACTTCACTTTATTATTAATTAAGCATTGTTTATGTAGATTTAATGAATTATTTTGAGAGGGGAAATTATTACATATATATAAAAGTATGGGAAGGAGTTAGAGGCAGAAGGAGGGAAAGGTTTGTTTGGTGATAAAGAGCCACCTTTGATGGGACGCTTTCAGACCATTAAGTTAAGCAGCTGGCTCACTTGGTATTCTTAATCATAAAAATGTTGCAGTATGTATATGTGCATTAACCCCATGACATCTTGCACTACCATTCTAACATATATACAGTATTTTTGTTTTAGAATCGGTGTGTGCCAAAAAAAAATGTATAGCTATGTAAACTTGATATAAAGTTCTTTGCTTCAAACTTTATTAGTATTGTTTCATAGTTCTGGACTCTTACATCATTCCAAACTATTTGTTTGTTGAACACAAGTTGAGAACTTTGCAAATTTCAATTTTTTAACTAATGCCCAGTACAGTATATTATTTTTGTAATTTTTTTTTTCAGGCTTTCAATCTTACTAAGAATGACTTAAGTGAGTTGTGCATTAGTGCTGTTGAAGCTACTTTTCTATCCCAGGATGAAAAACATCAACTTCGACAGTCAGTTCAAAGTGAACTAAAGGTCCTCTTGGTGAAAACACAATCAAGTTGTTGACAATAAAAGAAACATATGGCATCCATTTTTATTCTTGCTACTGTATCACTATTTTGGTATGGGATATATATACTGTATATTATTATCATGGAAATAAAGAATCAGTACAGTACATCAGTATTTTATTTCATGTTAACATTTGTGTAAAATTCTATTGTATATTAGTTATTTTTTGCCATGTGATGCAGTATCCTAATCACAATCACAGCTTGCTAATTAGCAAGCTCGTAGTCAGTAGAGGAATAATTAGCTATATTACTCTTGATTCTAGCTCTCTCTCAAAGAGTATCAAGATTTTTAGTTCTACTCTTGTATTACAGTACAGTATAATGAGCAGTTGCCTTGGTGTGGATTGAATTAAAAGTATATCTCACCTCTACTATATGGCTAACACTTTGAAGAATTCCTCTTTATGGAGAGCCACTGGACAGCAAGAGCCTAAGCATGTGAGCAATGCTGGATACCAGGAATCTTGATGAAAATTCTATAAAAATACTATTCCTGTATTTCTCATTATGAAATATTCTCTATACATTTATGCTATGGTCAAAGCACTACATACTGATGTAAGAATGTAAGAGTGGGTGATAATAGTAAGGTTTCCCAGAGTGGGATGGATTTAAGTATACGTAAGCAGACAGTCCATTCATTATGTGGTCTTGCTCGGGAAGCAGATAGTCTGCCTCACAAGCGATAGTCTGGATGAATGAAAGGCAATTGCATGGCGATAGTGTCTCAAGCTCTTGTCTGTGTAAAGGCCAAGAAGTTGTATGTGGACCTTGTCAGGAAGACACCAGGTGCGTCGACTGAAGAGGAGGAGATATTTAAGGCAAGCCGTGGATGGTTTGAGAAATTTAGGAAGAGAAGCGGTATCCACAGTGTTGTGCGACATGGGGAGGCTGCCAGCTCTGATAAAGCTGCTGCTGAGAAATTTGTACCAGAGTTCCAGGAATTTGTTGCTGAAAAGGAGTTCTTGCCCCAACAAGTTTTTAATTGTTACGAGACTGGCCTGTTTTGGAAGAAAATGACGAAGAGGACCTACATCACACAGGAGGAACAATCTTTGCCTGGCCACAAACCGATGAAGGATCGGCTTACTCTCGTCCTCTGCGCCAATGCAAGTGGCGATTGCAAGGTCAAGCCGCTGCTAGTCTACCACTCAGAAAATCCACGCGTGTTCAAGGGATGTAAAGTGTATAAGGCACAACTGAATGTGATGTGGAGGTCCAATAAGAAATCCTGGGTCACGCGGATATTCTTCACTGAATGGATCAATGATGTTTTTGGCCCCTCAGTGAGGGGCCAAAGAGAAACATCTTGAAGAGAAACAGTTGCCACTCAAGGCCTTGCTTGTGCTTGATAATGCTCCTGCACATCCTCCACAGATGCGAGATGAATTGTATCCTGAAAATCAGTTCATCACCATCAAGTTCCTTCCTCCCAATACCACTCCACTCCTCCAACCTATGGACCAGAAAGTAATTGCAAACTTTAAGAAACTCTACATGAAGGCCTTGTTGGAGAGGTGTGTTGATGTGACCGACAATACAGGGCTGACCCTCAAAGAATTCTGGAAGAACCACTTCAATATCCTGGGTGCCTTACATTTGATCGATAAGGCCTGGGAAGGAGTGACAAGGAGGACCCTTAACTCTACATGGCGTAACCTGTGGCCTGAGGGTGTCCCTGAGCGAGACTTTGAAGGTTGTACTTTGGTTAGATTCCATGCTGGTCAGGCAGATTGTTTACACACACATTGGCATTCAAACATACAATGTGTTCATACAATAGCTTGAAGATTTTATAATATTAAGTCTCAGTTTTTTCTTATGCTCACTGCACTTAGTAAGACATTATAAAATGTAATCCTGTTATTTTCAAAAATGATTTCATGTTAATAAGAAATAATACTGTAGTAGGAAGGGGATACATTTTTGTATATATTTACTGCTCCCTACCAATATAATTGTCCAACTTTTTAAAGAAAGAATATATAAAAGTAAGTTTTTGCTCAAGGGGCAAAAGCTAACTCATACACTGCTCCATTCACTATCTGTAATTTATTCCTGTAAAGTACTCAAATTGCTATATGTGATTAATCTTGTGGGTTTTCAATATTTTTTTCCATGTGCAATATGATGTAGCTCCAAAGTAGCTTAGCAGTTTTGGGACTAAGAGCACAGAATTTTGAAGACATTCTGGAGTAACCATTCGAGTATGAAGTATGAAGGGTAAAGAGAAATATAACAAATTCAGTTAAACAATGTTAAAATATTGAATGCCCTCTTTTTTTTTTTTCTGCCATTCTTTTCCACACTATCGAATCCTGGCAGGCGTCTCCCTCTGCCCCATGAGAATAATAGGATTGATGACAATATTGGTCACTTCATATATATTGTATAAGCAGATACAGTATATGTATCTTTATCCCTTACTACTGTATAACCACGTATACAGACTGTATATGCGAGTTCTACATTTTTTACTGATGCTTAATGGGAAATAGAAAAGACAAAATACTGTAATAAAAGAGTAGCAGGTTACAACTACGCTTCTGTTATTATCTGGGTAAATAAAATACTAATGGAACATTTAAAAAAATTTATATCACAATTATGTACAGACTATAAAATGAACCCAACAAAATATAAGATTTATATAAAAACTGCACTCAAAGAAATTCCTGTACAAGAGGAATCGCAACGACCAGTCTGAAAAAAGCAACAGAAAAAAATAATGCAAGATATATACTAGTGCACCAGAACAGGTACAAGTAACTGAGGTTAATCAGAATCCTCTCAAATTTTGGGTTTATGTATAAAAACAGTAATATACCAGTATTGTACAGTGTTAAGTATTTGACAAGTCAAAAAGAATTCTGAAACTATCTTTGAAAACTAAACAAATTTTGATAAAATGCAGAACAGGACAACGTAAGGTAAAGTTCAACTCGTCTATAATTTGTTTACATTATTTTATTGTTTTTCTGCAAACACTATGTATCATCAATAAATACTGAAGTTGCTCTAACCTTTACTCTTAAACAAGATCAACTTATCTTAATATATACTCAATTATGCAAATTCTGAACATGCAAATCTCTTGTAAATTAAGCTGTCTGTTAAAGGAGAGCTGCTCTTTCATCTTACCCATTCTAAAGAAAGTCATTAAATGCGCCCGGCTTCCTTAAGTTTACTAATGAGTGTGTCCACATCTTCAACCTTAATACCAGCCTCTCTTGCAGGTGGGTCAGAGACTTCAATAATGTCAAAATGGGGAGTTGTGTCCACACCCAGGTCTGCAGGTTTCATTTTCTCAATTTTCTTCTTCTTTGCTTTCTGTACAAGCACAACACATAAGTTAGAATAGAAATAATATACATTCTACTGTATAGAATGTCTTGCCTAACAACCACTTTGGCAGGACGGTAGAGTGACGGTCTCGCTTCATGGAGGTCGGCATTCAATCCCCGACCGTCCAAGTGGTTGGGCACCATTCCTTACCCTCCGTCCCATCCCAAATCCGTATCCTAACCCTCTTCCTAGTGCTAGATAGTCTAATGGCTTGGCGATTTCCCCTGATAGTTCCCTTCCCTTTTACTGTATACATCAAAATTGTAGGAATAAAATAGGTTAAATTCACCAATCAATTATAATTACAGTATTTATATGGGACCGAGGGCTTAGGAAATTAAACATTATTTTTCAGGGCCTAATTGGAAAAATAAATATATAAATGAATATGAAATATTGACAGGCAATTTTTTTGGGCATTTTTTTAAATGTTTTTCCGACAGATTATTCGTGCTGCATTTGTTTTAATTAAACAAAAGAACAATAAAAAAAAATTGCCATTTTAGTTATAGTCACCTATCAAGCACATTATCCATGCCGCAGCCTTGATGGGTATTTGACATATGGTTAATAGATCAGGGATGATACTTCCTTTAAAGCAAAAATTCAATGCAAACCTCATAACAAATTTGCCTTAAACTTAATTTCTTGCAAGTATTACAATTACTGATCTCATTCCTTGTTTACTCTCATCAAAAATCTTATATTTTAGCTAACAATATTCAGTACAGTGGCACCTCGACATACGATTGCCCCTACTTACGATAATTTCGAGTTACGATGTAAATTTCATCGAAAAATGCGACTCGACATCCGATGGTGTCGTCGACTTCCGATATTTGTTGGTACACGTTCGGGTCGACCGAGCGCGTGGTTCCCAGTCACGCGGCCGACCTGCCTCAGTTTACTACAGCTGCCCGCTTAGTGACGATCGCACCTACAAGAAATTCCGCTTTTGTGGCGATTTTTTGCATTTTGAACATTAAAGTAATTATTATATATCACGCCAAGAGTCCCAGGAGAGTCAGTGGTAAGGCTCAACATATGAAAACCCATGTAAGGATGACCATAGAGCAGAAACAAGAGTACAGAATGTCTCTTCCTCAACAATTAAGAAAATGTGTGCAGCATGGGAAGAATTGCAAACCTTTGCTGAAACGACTCTCCCAAATCAAGCTGCAGTAGGTCGTTGCCTTAACCTATTCAATGACACTGTGATGCATCATTACAGACAAATGTTAAAATGTAGGGAAAAACAAATGTTTCTTGACATATTTGTAGCAAGACAAACAAGCACTGAACCACAACCAGGTCCTAGTGGTATTCAGGCAAAACGTAGGAGAGAAGAGTACCCCAGAGAAAACATCTCTGCCTGATGTGATAATGGAAAGGGACTCCCCTTCCAAACAGGAACAACTCTCCTCCTCCCCCCTCATCACCATCTTCCATACACCATTAAGAGCCCTCCATAAAGGTAAGAGACACTTTGGTACTGTATTGTAGTTAGAAAAAACAATGTATTCAGTATAAAATGTATTTGTATGTTAATATTTTGGAGGGTGGGGAAAGGATTAATTCAATTCCCTTTATTTCTTATGGGAAAAATCGCTTCAACTTACGATATTTCGACTTACAATCCGTCTCTGGGAACAGATTATCATCGTAAGTCGAGGCCCCATTGTATTTTAATTGAACAGTATATAATAAAACCTACAACACTAAGTAACTCCCTATAAGTTGATCAACCAACCTTATTCTACTATGGAAGCATTACCATGAAACTACAGATGACTTTTCTTTGCCCCCACCCTTCCCCCACCGACATACACACACACACACACACACAGCCTGTCCTCGGGCCAGGCTTGGGGAGTAGAAGAACTCTCAGAACCTCATCAAGCATGGTCATGTAGTGATGGTTATTACATTTTCTATTCATAACTGGCTTTTCCATCTTCATCTCTGCTACAATTTGTAATTTATTATTTTACATTTAGTTTTGATTTCCAGAAATTTTTTTATTTTAATAAATAGAGGTCATATGACCTCAATAATTATTCACAGATTCATCATGGTCTTGTGATTTTTATTTTCCACTTTATTCACTTATACATTCCAGATTGAGGGTTAATATATGTCCTTATTAAACTTATTTTTACCTATTACAAAACCTACAAGGCACCTCTAGCTCTTCTCCTTTACAGTACTACATTTAATTTTCTTTTCTTTAGCAATAGCATTTACCCCTAATAATAACTACTGTTAAACTAAATGATACTTCCCATTCATTTAAAAATCAAAACTTCCACTCATATGCTGAGATATGGAACTAATGATGTCTATGAAATATAGGTCCACACTCGTTGCCTTTGTTTACAACTTGTGTTAAGCATCTATGCTTTATAGTAACTACAGTTTAATAAATTTCCCATAATAAAGTGATATATAGTACTGTACTTACCATAATGTTTGGTAATGTAGCATATCGAGGTTCATTGAGACGAAGATCAGCTGAAACAACAGCTGGTAGTTTTACTTTGATTGTTTCAAGACCCCCATCAACCTCACGAACTACATTTAGAAAATCATCTTCCTTCTCTATCTGCAACATTCATTTAAATTAATTAGCATCATATAAGTCACAATACTGTACATAATAATAATTGACAGTCAATTGCTGAAAGTGTTTGTGGTCATATGATAATGTGTCAAAGCAATACAATACCACCATAGGTTCCCAAAACATTTAATTGCCTTTAATTAATTTAATTTTGAAATTATACAAACTTCAATGAAGAATTAAATTTACTGTGAAGCTGCAAATATGGTTTCAACTTGTGTAAATGCACACACAATCAAAATCAGACTATAAACAGATATGTACCATGCTAAATGTGTTCAATATAATACTGTACATTACTCTAACCTTTGATGCAAAAGTGGCTTGTGGCCAATTGAGGATTGATGCTGTCATCTGGGCAGTGGCATTTGAATCATCATCAATAGCTTGCTTGCCCAATATCACCAGTCCTGCTTGTTCTTTCTCTACTAGTTTAGCAAGAATCTTAGACACATGAAGGGGCTCCAGCTTCTCCATCTCTTTTGCAGGTATTTCTACATGAATGCCTCGATCTGCACCCATGGCCAATGCAGTGCGAATGGTTTCCTATAAAAAAAAATTAGAACTTTAAAATAAGAAAAGTGGTTGATTATTATGAAATGATAATAGTAGTTTTTTTGGAATAAAAGACTTTGAACAGATGGCTATGACATTGAATGCAAGTAATGTTTGGCTAAGACTGGTAAGCTGGTGGGCGTTATACAAACAAATAAAAATGAGGAAATGTTTTTAGCAAGATGAAGTAGCAAGAGCAGTTGATGATGTGGTTCCTGAAGATACTAAGCAATGGAGGGGAAAATTAGGCAAGAAAAATATTGTATGGTGAGAATAAATATGTGAAAGGATTGCTTGAGAGAAAAAAAACAAGTAACTAGATCTACGTTTCAATCACAGTCAGTCAAGGAAGGTATTCTTGTTCTTCTGCCAGCCAACTCTCACAATACAAACAATACTTTTTGTATTATTAATTATTCTTAAAATAAATGTCACCCGTCCCCTCTGAACATATATTTACAAAAAGAGGGAGAGAGAATGTGGTGAGTGGGGTGGTTAGGCAGCACGAGTGAGTAATGTTGGTGTGAGAGTTTGTGGGATGGATAGGCGACATAGGTGGGCGAGGGTTCGGACTGGATAGGTTTTGGTGGGGGCTACGGTTCAGGTGGTTGGTGTGGCCATATTGTTGGTTGTAGTGGTGATTGGGGTTAGGTGAGGTAGGTGATTGGGGGTGAGTGAATAGTTGGTAGTTTGGTATGGGTCACGTGGGTGCATGGTTGATGGCAGTTGGATAATCATGTGGTGTGTTGGGATGTGGGAGGTTGTGGGTTATGAGCTACAGCTGGGGTGGGCACATAGTTTGTGTGGTGTGATGGTGGGGAGATTTGGATGCGAAGTATTGATGAGCAGGTAGTGGGAGACGGGTAAAAACTAGGTAGCAGCCCCACAGCCAATAACTATGGGCTTGATCCTCCTCAAAAAATTATCCCAAAAGTCCCTCAATATATATGTACATTACAGTACTGTACTGTGCTTTATAAATACTTTAATACAGTACAGTACTGTACTTATCAAGCTACATTACTGACTAACAAAAGGAAGTTGTTTTGTAACCATACATAAGAGCTTTAGACACCTAATCCACACATTTGAAAATAAAGTGATGACATTTCGGTCAGAGAACTGCTGTGAATGTTTGCTGTAGTGCAGTGGTGCTGATTTTTCATAATGCTGTCAAGTGCAACAAACAATTTGAATGAATAGGTATCCTGCACAAAATTTTATATTCTTATAGTATGCTTCTATATTCTTTTGTCAAATGCCTCTTCACACAATGAAAGTGAGAGAAGAGGTAATAATAAGGATAATATATCACATGGTAAAAATAAATATAAATTAGCAATTCTTCAAGATGCAATTTATTACAAAAATTGCAACATAATAAACACATTTAGTTCTAATGAAATAAATTTATCCACCATTTTCAAATAATTTAAATCCTAATTACACATACAGTACATAGTAAATATGTAAAATCATCCTATAATTTACAACAAAAACTAAGGTTACTTGCTTGTGCCTGAGTTGGCCCACATGATACAGCAATTACTTCTTGGGCTATTTTCTTTTCCTTTAAACGAACTGCTTCCTCAATGGCAATTTCATCAAAAGGATTCATAGAGTGCTTCACACCATCTGTAACCACGCCCAGCTTATCAGGCCTTATACGAACCTGCAATTAAAAAATACATTCTTTAGCAAAGTTTAACACAAAAACACATTACTAATGTGAACCAAAGAAATTATCAGCAACATTAGCTTATCTGATAAACATTCAAAGTCAAATGCATTGTTATACTTCTTATACTGTATGCTCAAAATGTCTTGAAGTGGGAGAGGGAAGGAGCATTACTTTTGGAGAATACTCTAATTACGTATGCTCAGGTAAAACATACCTTACAATGAAATACTACTGAAATAATAATTACATTATGAATTATAGCTGGTATAAACAGTTGTACATCATTATAAGTCAAACTTGCATTTTTAGTATTGTATGGTGCAACATGACAATGGACCAATATAACTTACTGCAGGTAACACATTTTCAGATAAAATTGTGATAATGACTACATTAACTGACTTATTCATGAAAAATACTGTATTGAACAGTATTTAAAAAGTAATAATTTTTGTTCTGTACAGAGACTATGTGACTTTTTAATTGCACAGCTGAAAAGACCATAAAATTTTCTTAATAGACATGTAATAAATGCAAAAATCTAATTTAAAATTTGATTTCTCCAAGTATTTTTAGGCTGTCAGTAGGAATAAGGCCAAGAAAATGATTTTGCAGCCAAAGAGTAAAACCTTATTGGTTCTCAACCATTTCTGGCATAAGTTAACTTGGTTCAGGAATATAATTTAGGCTTGTATGGGGCTTCCTCCCCCCCCCCCCAAGATGTAAACTTCTGACCTTCTCCAGGATGTAACTGCACAACTCATGGTTAACTCCCGGGGTATTTATTTACTGTTAGGTGAACTGGGTGAAAGAAAATGTGCCCAACATTTCTGTCCCGCCCAGGAATAGAACTGGGGAGCCCCGATCTTGAGTCGAGAATGAAGCCAACTGCACTACGAGATCCCTGTGGTTTTGGGTTTGAAAGGTTTTAAATTATGTTGGTAAACTGCCTTGGTCATGTTTAATTTTTGTTATTTTTATTAAATGACTATGGAGGTGGCAGGTTTAATCCCAATACTAAATATTGTGACCAACACCGTGCTGTTTATATAAAGATCTTGTCTACTCCGGTTCACAAAATACTTACCCTCTGGAAATGTAGGATAACCTAACAACTTAATTTATCTAATGATTTAATTTTAAATAGTCAAAATTTGGAGTATTTTTAGTGCATATACTGGTATTTTATCTATTATTTATATCTAATATTTATATATATATATTTGACAATGTCAGACCACGGAGGAAAAATGAAACAGGAATTTCCTTAAGTACTTTCGTATATTAATACATCTTCAGAAGGAGTCCTTCTGAAGATGTATTAATATACGAAAGTACTTAAGGAAATTCCTGTTTCATTTTTCCTCCGTGGTCTGACATTGTCACATTTTTAATCACGTGTTTATTTTCGTGATATACACACATATATATATATTTATCTATTAATTTCTATTATTATTACCCGAGGGCTACTATCTAGAAAACAACTAATCGATGTTTACCACATCAGTAAATCAGAAATATATTAAATTTAACGAAGTAATTATCAAATCAAGGTAGAGTGCTATGCCAGTATAAGAATACTGTAGAGCATGTGATGATATCAGAGTTAGTAAGAGAGCCTGAACCCAGATTTTGCTAGTGAAGGCTAATAGATCAGTCTTACATTTCATGTTCTCTCCAGACTTTTAGTCAGAGTTGATTTGTTTTTGTAATGAGTGAAGTATTATCTCCCCGGACTCCATGTATGACTAACCATCCTGTGAGACGGGAAGATTAGATGAACTTACAGCTAGTTTCTGATCTAACCTGCGTAATTTTTCATATAGAATTGGGGGAACAGCACATTACTGCGTATGCTTAAGTTTGTTAATTAACAAACTAATGTAATAGTAAGAGTGAGAGAGATCTTTAGAGTGAAGAGCATCAGTGACCACCGTCGGCGGCCCGGTCACCAACCTCACTCTTCACCACTAAATACACAATAATGGCCATAAATGAGGTATGCAAGAAGCAAACGTGTTGTGGCTCACCTTGACGGCATAATCAATGACTCTCTTACAGCCTACCAGCACCCGGAGAGACATTATAGAAGGGGAGAAGAGGCGAGGCTCGCCCAGCTGTATATAATAATAGTGGCGTCACCCTCCGTCACCACACCGGGGTCGACTCTACTCGTACAAAACTCTTTCGTATACACGTTAAGGGCTGGCTTGTGTCCCTTGCTGTTCTTGTCTTCCAAGGCAATAATATAACCAAAATGAGACGGTAGAATTTGCTAATAGGTTAATGCGAGTAATCAGATGGTACAAGATAATAATATATAATAATAATAATGGCCAACCAGCCACATGTCCGAAGCTCGACAAGCCGAGCACTGGTCGAATCGTTTATAACTTTCGGAGGGCATCGGTTCGGATACAAGACACTCCGTACATTGACAACATCGCACACTAATATTTTTACCACTTCGGACGTTTCGCATATGTGTACGTGTTACATATTAAAACGACAATATAATGCTATTAACAATTAAAATCTTCTACTTAACAAGCATATAGTTATTAAATGAACTTTAGTGATGTAATAGACATAATCCGGAGTTGGTAAGGACGCCGCCCGCCAGCGTAAACACAACACACCTGAATGCCCACAAACACGATACAACGCACAAAACACAACACTTCTGTCAGTTTTTGGATAAACTCCTTTTATATTTATTATGTGATAGTTATACTTGTATAAAATGATAACTATTATAGGTAAGCGCCTAATATTTAGTATTAATCAATCAAGTTTTGTCTGTTACTTGCCAGAAGTGTTGAACATTCGTAACCAAAGTCAATTTTCTCCAGGGGCAGATATATATGGAATTGTAGTCTAATTTACATCAAGCTATGCATGATGAGGATGAATGATTCTTCTGAGCATTCCAAGAGGGAAGTTTTCTAAGACAGTGTGAAGGCTATACTGATCGATTGACTGATGAAGATTAAGTGGGCATGAATAGCCAGTAAGTGACCCTTTTGAGCCAGCCATTACTAGTATCAATAGATGATACTGGAGATCTGTGGAGGTGCGACTGCACCCTGCGTGACGGGAGATGTCTCCCATCGGATAACTACGATTGATTGATTGATGAAGATTAAGCCACCCAAAAGGTGGCACGGGCATGAATAGCCCGTAAGACAACTACGATGATTGATTGATAAAGATTAAGCCACCCAAAAGGTGGCACGGGCATGAATAGCCCGTAAGTGGTGGCCCTTTTAAGCCATTTCCAGTATCAAGAGCTGATACTGGAGATCTGTGGAGGTGCGAATGCACCCTGCATGACGGGAGATGTCTCCCACGTGAATGTGTTAAGATGAACATGAAGCCACCCAAAAGGTGGCACGGGCATGAGTAGCTCGTAAGTGGTGGCCCTTTTGAGCCCTCACAAGTATCAATAGATGATACTGGAGATCTGTGGTGGTGCGACAACACCCTGCGTGACGGGAGATGTCTCCCGGACCAAGTGTGGCATGTTGAGTGCCATGATGATGATGATGAAGATTAAGCCACCCAAGAGGTGGCACGGGCATGAATAGCCCATAAGTGGTGGCCCTTTTGAGCCATTACCAGTATCAAGAGCTGATACTGGAGATCTGTGGAGGTGCGACTGCACCCTGCGTGACGGGAGATGTCTCCCGTGTTCACTATTCGATGATGATGATGATGAAGATTAAGCCACCCAAAAGGTGGCACGGGCATGAATAGCCCGTAAGTGGTGGCCATTTTAAGCCATTACCAGTATCAAGAGCTGATACTGGAGATCTGTGGAGGTGCGAATGCACCCTGCATGATGGGAGATGTCTCCCTTGTGAATGTGTTAAGATGAAGATGAAGCCACCCAATAGGTGGCACGGGCATGAATTGGTAAGTGGTGGCCCTTTTGAGCCATCACCAGTATCAATAGATGATACTGGAGATCTGTGGAGGTGCGAGTGCACCCAGCGTGACGGGAGATGTCTCCCGTGTTTTAAACAAATGAAGAAGATGAAGATGTAGCCACCCAAAAGATGGCACAGGCATGAATAGCTCGTAAGTGGTGGCCCTTTCGAGCCATCACCAGTATCAAGAGCTGATACTGGAGATCTGTGGAGGTGCAAGTGCACTCTGCGTGACGGGAGATGTCTCCCATGAATGTGTCCAAGATGACGATTAAACCATCGAAAAGGTGGCACGGGCATGAATAGCCCGTAAGTGGTGGCCCTTTTGAGCCATTACCAGTATCAAGAGCTGATACTGGAGATCTGTGGAGGTGCGACTGCACCCTGCGTGACGGGAGATGTCTCCCGTGTTCACTATTCGATGATGATGATGATGATGAAGATTAAGCCACCCAAAAGGTGGCACGGGCATGAATAGCCCGTAAGTGGTGGCCATTTTAAGCCATTACCAGTATCAAGAGCTGATACTGGAGATCTGTGGAGGTGCGAATGCACCCTGCATGATGGGAGATGTCTCCCTTGTGAATGTGTTAAGATGAAGATGAAGCCACCCAATAGGTGGCACGGGCATGAATTGGTAAGTGGTGGCCCTTTTGAGCTATCACCAGTATCAATAGATGATACTGGAGATCTGTGGAGGTGCGAGTGCACCCAGCGTGACGGGAGATGTCTCCCGTGTTTTAAACAAATGAAGAAGATGAAGATGTAGCCACCCAAAAGATGGCACAGGCATGAATAGCTCGTAAGTGGTGGCCCTTTCGAGCCATCACCAGTATGATACTGGAGATCTGTGGAGGTGCAAGTGCACTCTGCGTGACGGGAGATGTCTCCCATGAATGTGTCCAAGATGACGATTAAACCATCGAAAAGGTGGCACGGGCATGAATAGCCCGTAAGTGGTGGCCCTTTTGAGCCATTACCAGTATCAAGAGCTGATACTGGAGATCTGTGGAGGTGCAACTGCACCCTGCGTGACGGGAGATGTCTCCCGGACCAAGTGTGTGTATCTTCTTGATTGATTGATTGATGAAGATTAAGCCACCCAAAAGGTGGCACGGGCATGAATAGCCCGTAAGTGGTGGCCCTTTTAAGCCATTACCAGTATCAAGAGCTGATACTGGAGATCTGTGGAGGTGCGAATGCACCCTGCGTGACGGGAGATGTCTCCCGTGGCTTCCAAATGATTGATTGATTGATGAAGATTAAGCCACACAAAAGGTGACACGGGCATGAATAGCTCGTAAGTGGTGGCCCTTTTGAGCCATCACCAGTATCAAGAGCTGATACTGGAGATCTGTGGAGGCGCAACTGCACCCTGCGTGACGGGACATGTCTCCCGGACCAAGTGTGGCATATCTTCTTGATTGATGGTTGATGAAGATTAAGCCACCCAAGAGGTGGCACGGGCATGAATAGCCCGTAAGTGGTGGCCCTTTCGAGCCATTACCAGTATCAAAAGATGATACTGGAGATCTGTGGAGGCGCAACTGCACCCTACGTGACGGGAGATGTCTCCCGGACCAAGTGTGGCCCATCACTGAAGAGTCGATTGATTGATTGATAAAGATTAAGCCACCCAAGAGGTGGCACAGGCATGAATAGCCCGTAAGTGGTACAATTTTTTTTTCCAGTGTTCTGAGGTTGCATTTAACCATCAAGCTGTTATCGTGGGGGAGGATACTGCTTCAGTCTTTATGAGGGTGTCCAGCTGCTGATTGATTGATTGATGAAGATTAAGCCACCCAAAAGGTGGCACGGGCATGAATAGCCCGTAAGTGGTGGCCCTTTTGAGCCATTACCAGTATCAAGAGCTGATACTGGAGATCTGTGGAGGTGCGAATGCACCCTGCATGACGGGAGATATCTCCTTTGTGAATGTGTTAAGATGAAGATGAAGCCACCCAAAAGGTGGCACGGGCATGAATAGCCCGTAAGTGGTGGCCCTTTTGAGCCATTACCAGTATCAAGACCTGATACTGGAGATCTGTGGAGGTGCGAATGCACCCTGCATGACGGGAGATGTCTCCTTTGTGAATGTGTTAAGATGAAGATGAAGCCACCCAAGAGGTGGCACGGGCATGAATAGCCTGTAAGTGGTGGCCCTTTTGAGCCATTACCAGTATCAAGAGCTGATACTGGAGATCTGTGGAGGTGCGATTGCACCCTGCGTGACGGGAGATTTCTCCCGGACCAAGTGGTGACCAAATGGTGACGGATACCTACGATCGATAGCCGGTTTATATATTGCACAGCGGTCCGTCTAATTACCGCAAGCCAGTGTTGCCAGATTGGGCTACAAATAGCGAATTGAACTACTTTTGAGAGTCCCGCGCTCCCAATTTTTTAATTTCGCTACTTGCTACTTTTTGGGCTAATTTAAAAGCAAGATGTGCTAATTTGGGCTATTAAAGTTAAGAATGTACGATTGCGAGTTACATGAAAGTAACTAAGCTAAAAATAATTGTAAATATTAATTAATACTAAATAATATTATTTAATAAATTAATTCAATGCAGAGTTTTCTTCCAAGCACAGAAACTTGTAAATATAAATACAAGATAATAGATAGATCGATAAATAAATAGACAACTTTCAAATTGTCCAGATAAATAGACCAGACCCAAAGTGGATAACAAAGAATTTGAAGAACCTTATAGGTAAAAAGAGAGCTTGGTACAAAAGGATTAAAAATGGGGAGGTCACTTTAGAACAGGAATTCGTACAACTGGTTAGAAATGTTAAAAAAGAGATAAGGAAAGCAAAAAGAAACTATGAAGTTCGCATAGCAGGGCAAGCAAAGACAAATCCTAAAGGGTTTTTTCAGTTATATCGTACTAAGACTAGGGAAAGGATAGGTCCATTAAAAACTGAGACAGGTCAAATAACAGATAGTGATGAAGAGATGAGTAGTATTTTTAATAAATATTTTGTATCTGTATTTACTAAAGAGGAACTTAACAATATGCCTTCAGCCGAACAAGTCTATGTGGGTGGGGACGAGGACAGGTTGACGAGTTTAACAGTTACCAGGGAGGATGTTCTTAAACAAATAGTAAAACTCAAACCAAACAAATCCCCAGGGCCGGATGAAGTGTTTGCCAGGGTGCTTAAAGAATGCAAAGAGGAGCTTTGTGACCCACTGTCAACCATATTTAATAAATCAATAGAGTCAGGCAGAGTGCCAGAGTTTTGGAAAGT